TAAAGATTAAGTAAAGCCATAATATTTTTACACTTTTTAATCTTCTATAAGTGTGCACTAACCTAATTAGAGCAACAAGTATTATTAAAACACATTTGTAAGCTAAAAAATTAAGAATATGCATTTATTCACGACATTCTCACGTAGCCATATTGTTTTTAATTTTTTCGAATTGACAGTCACACTAAAAGAGCGCCTGTGCGTGATTTTTGCGATGTTGACAAGTGCTTTTTGTTATTTGTTCTAAATAAATATATTCATGGTAATACCACAGGCCTGTCACTCCCTATACTTCCCATGTTAAATTCTGGCTCAAATCTCGATGACTTCGGCACCTCTTCCCTGAAGTCTGGGGTATTTTTGAAAAGTCTGGGGTCACCAATCAGCACGTTGGTTGCCGTCACATGGAGAAAAATGACATCAAAAAGTAAAAAATATTCTGATTTTAAGCCACTTGAAGACAACATTAGTGTGGGTATTAAAAAATTTATGTTTTTTTGGTTTTTAAAATAATGTTGACGTTGGAGCGTTGGTTGCTGTCACATGAGAAAAATGTCATCTAGAAAATTGATTAGTATTTTTGCTGTTTTTCACTGCACAAACCTTCATGATGTAATTTGTATTAAAAAAATACAGATCTATAACAAAATTAGATCATAAATAAATGGTTGAACCAAAAAGAGAAATGATCAGAAAGCTAGGTTATATTAGATTAGAAACATTTACCCACGTAAAATATTTTAAATTTTCAAGGTCACAGAGTTTCAGATCGATTGACATTTCAGTTTTCAGTGCGATCTCTTGTGTTAACTATACTCTTTGGTAATACCGTTCTATATTACTTTTTGTTTATGAATAATATGACGACTAACATTTTTATTTTTTTAAATGTGGTGTTGTCAAACATAGTAAAAGAACGTACCTAACAGGAATGACAGTGGCTGTTTTTTCAATAGCTCCAAGCCAAATGATAAAACCAGAATATAAATGTGTTTATATAAGACTTTTCATTTCAATTATTCAATTTGAACTGTGTCCAGGCCATTGGAGTCTATGCCGGTCGGCGTAGCCAGGTATGGGTGAATGTTTCTTGGTGGCGGCTTCGCCGCCACCGTACGAGAGGTCGTTGCTTCGTTTTCTTGTTGCATATTTATGGACCGGTATGCGCAATCACAATTTTCCATTAACTACTAATTTTATCACAATCCGGCAACGTTGCAATTATATTTTCCAAATTTGTCAGAAACCGACGATGTTTCGATGTCAAAATGCTGATTTTTATAGAAATTAAATAATTTTTTTTGGCTTAAATAATGCATTTACCGCAATTTTTTTTTTTGAAATGTACTATTTAAAATAAATTTCTTTAAAATTCCACTGTCCCTAAAGTCGTCGGGACCACATATAATTATTAACTCTTAAACTATTTTACTCTCAAAATGTAGAAACAAACTTAAATTTTTATAAAAACTACTATCTGACCACGAAATTCGCTTTGACAGTCAACGTGTTAAACACATGCAGTAATAAGTGAGTGTTTTATGAATAATTCATGAATGGTCAATATAAGGCAAATCATTTATAAAATTTTAATAATTTTTCTCAAAAATAGTCTGTTATTTGCAAGTTTTTTTAGAAATATATTTTCCAAATTCTGACGTACCTTAAACATTCTGCAGCCGTTTTTATATTTAGAATGTAGTATAAAAACAGATAATTCTAGCCTAATAACAAAATGTAAATTTAACAGTATACATATACATAATTCTTTGAGAATTTTAGAATATGAAAAATCAGTAGATATTTATTTCACTTAGTGATTTTTAATGTTTTATTTTCCATAAATCAATTGTCAAATTTTAATTCATAATATACCTACGTTCAAGATATTAGTTGGTTCATATTTTTATCAAAAAAGTATTATTTGAAATAAATGGCATTTTTTGTTTTTGTAATGATATTAGGAATATTTTGACTATGAATGTCTTAAAGTTTGTATTAACTCAGAAAAAAAAAGCTACAAAATATGCACCATTAAAGCCAACAGAAAAATGTATGCCAATTTTTTTTGTATGGAATAATGGTGCTAAATTATTGAATACTATAACTACTATTTTAACCACTTTGGTAACTATAGCTTTAAAGTTATTCAACAATTTTCTTTATATGTTAAATCAATTATTTAACATATTAATGGAAAATTACTTGTTAGAAGTAATATACAGGATATTTCAAAAAGATATGTCATAAATTCATCCTCAGATAGATTACTAAAAAATAAAGAGGTAGTTTTTGCAGGGGCGGCTCAAACACAGCCCTAGACACACCACTGATTTTTATATGTATTTTTTGTACAATAACTTCTGACCCTGAGTCCAGGACGGACGAATTGCTCTAGAAATTCAGTTAAAAAATTGTAAATAGCTTGTTAACTAAGAAATATACAAAGTTCATTTCATAGTTCTTTTTGATTTTAAGATTGTTTCTTTATGTCAAAAAAAATACGGGAGAGGGGCGCGTTAAAAAGTAGGGTCCGATTACAATTAGAAGAACACAGCTACGTCATCAATTGGTGGAGTAATTTGTTAGCTATAGCCGCCTACTAAGGATTTAGTATTTATAGGAATGTAGGAATAATATTTATAAACCTAACAACTCACATGTCCTTTATTAATTGATAGTTATAGATGATATATGTTTGAAATTCGAAATAATTATGACGCAGCTGTAATCGGATTCTACCCAACCCTCCAACTGTTTTCAAAGGGGTCGTTTTCATTTTTTTTTTTTAGAATATTGGGCCTTTAAATCTACAGCACAAATTTCAAAACAGCAAACTTTTACAAAAAAAAAAAAAAACGTTTTTCTGCATCTTAGTTTAACGCCCTGTATTTTTGTTTTGGATATAGGTAAATATAGCCAAATCCACTTGTTTTTTTGGTAATTCTATCTGAGGAAGAATTTATGACTGACATATTTTTTTGAAACATCTTTTATACGGTATACGGTCTTGCATCGTCGAACAGGACATAGGAAATCCCATGTAATTTTAAATGGAATCAATTATTGGCTTCTCTAATGGGCCCGTTCACTTTTATTTTTGAATGTGAATTAATTATATATTTATAAAGATATTAAACTCTTTTGTCTGGTGGTACTTTTCCCGTTAAGATATTTTTGCTAGAAGTAAGGGAATTCCCATAAAATTCTTTCAGTGACTCATTGCGTCAGAAAACCCCTAATTCCCTTCAGGTCTCGTATCGGTTAATAGTTAAAAGGGCGCGGTTGTCGGATGTATCATTGCACCCCCATTCCTCTTCTGCATTTATTAAAGAAATTTACATGATAAAAATATATTATTTTTTAAAAATAATGTGTTTATATTTTCAGATAAAGCTGGAAGCCTTACCTTTTTTAAATTTTAATAAAAACAATTAGTATTACTCAAGCTGAATATTACCAGATCGAAATTTTATTTGAGAAAATGTATCTGGTAAACATGACAACGTTGTAAGTACTTCTAAATAGTGTTGTCTACACACACTTCTAGAAATAAATGCAACGTTGCCACGTTTACCAGATAAATATTGCAAATCAAATTTCTACTTTTTGATTATGGTCTGGTTAATTTTCAGCCTGAGTAATAATAATTGTTTTAATTAAAAAGTAAAAAATAAGCTCCCAGCTTTAAATCTGAAAATATAAGTTCATGATTTTTAGAAAAATAATGGAATTTTACTATTTAAATTACATATATAAATGCAGAAATGCTATATGAGGGATACTTCCGACAACCCCGCCGTCTTTAAGCATAACCGATACGAGACGTGAACGGAATTAGGGATTTTCTGACGCAATGAGTCACTGAAAGAATTTTATGGGAATTCCCTTACTTCTAGCAAAAATATCTTAACGGGAAAAGTACCACCAGACAAAAGAGTTTAATATCTTTATAAATATATAATTAATTTACATTCAAAAATGAAAGTGAACGGGCCCATTATTTAAAAAAAAAAAAATTATATTTGGATTTATTGAAAAAACACTAAAAGCAATGTTAAAAAAATAACTTTTAAGATATTTTTGATTGGCCCGTTTACAAGTTAATTTTTAATAATTTTTATCATTTTTTATTTTTATCAATTTTATTAATTTTTTTTAATTTTTTTTTATGAATTTTTTGAATTTCTATTGTTTAATTTTTTTGTTAATTTTTATTTGGTATCCCCTAAGTGGGCAAATTTTATTTTATTATTTTTATGAATTTTATTATTTTTTTTTTTATTAATTTTTATTATGAATTTTATAAATTTTTAGGAGTTACTAATTTTTTATGAATTTTATTAATTTTTGGAAGTTATTAATTTTTTATGATTTTTGATTAATTTTTATTTATATTTCTTTTTATGAATTTTATTAATTTTTATTTATTTTTATGAATTATATTAATTTTTGTTAATTTTTATTAGGTATCCCCTGAGTGGGTAAATTTTATTTCATCATACCTTTACATGCAGAAGGTCATGGTGGACAAGGACAAAGTTCTAACTACTTTTAAATCTAATTTACATGCAAGAAAAGCAAGATTAAATAAAATAAAAATAATAATAATAATTGTCATTTATTGAACTCCAATAGGCTATCAACTGAAGTCCTTCTGCCTATTGTACTGCATACAAATGGGGTTATAAATATTTTATATCACAGATAAAGAAACATGAATTGAATGAAAAGAAAATTATAACAATTTGCTTATTAATAGAAGATATTTATTGTATATTGCGCATCTTCTCTAATGTCGTTTGTCTTGGATGCTGAGATCGGGGGTGGATGGTGGGGTCCCTTTCAACGCATTATCTTGATATATCTTGTATGTTTCCTGGTTTCTGTACAAATTTCTTGTTTAGGATTACCTACCCTTTTTATTTAGTTTTTATTTTTTAACATCTCAAAAATGTTAATAAATAGTATTTTGAAACATTTTTTCTTGCATTATTTAGATTGAAGCACATTCCTCGTCCAAAAATGCAAGTATGCGTTTTGGGAGACCAACAGCATTGCGACGAAGCTAACGCTAACAACGTCCCAAATATGGACGTCGAAGCTTTGAAAAAATTGAACAAAAACAAAAAGCTCGTCAAGAAACTAGCTAAAAAATACGACGCTTTCCTCGCTTCTGAAGCTCTTATTAAACAGATCCCCAGGCTTTTGGGTCCCGGTCTTAACAAGGCCGGTAAGTTTCCCGGTCTTCTTTCCCACCAGGAGTCCATGACTCAGAAAATCGACGAGGTCAAGGCCACCATCAAATTCCAAATGAAAAAGGTATAGTGGATTTTTTATTTTTTAAATAATACAAACTTGAGATTTATTATATTGTTAAAGTTTTTGATTTAACTTTTATATCTATTCTTTTTTGAAACAATATTTAAAAAAAAATACTTTCAAATTTACTGATGATATAATAAGGTTGTGAGTTTATCAAAATTATTTGAAAAAAAAAAACTGAAGTTAAATTATAAAATTTTCAAAAAAAAAAAGATTATTTTGCCCACCCCTACTCATGCGACATAATAATCAAGTATTGTACACGTTCAATTCTGTAATAATTATGACAATTAAGTATGAAAAATTTGTTTAAATTAGTAAAATTAGAGGTTGTTCCAATATGTAGTTAGGAATTTTTTTCTGAATTATATGCGCCATTAAAGCCAACAGAAAAATGTATGCCAATTTCTTCTGTATGGAAAAATGGTGCTATATTATTGAATACTATAACTACTATTTTAACCACTTTGGTAACTATAGCTTTAAAGTTATTCAACAATTTTTACTTATTAATATTGTAACGTTTAATTTATTTATAGTTTATTTATATAAAACCCTTTATTTACAATTTATTACTATTTATCTTTTTTGTCCAACACTTCAACTAAATATTCTTGTCCTTCGACAAACTCGCGCTATTTATTTATATAAAGCCAGCTCTGTACCAGAACTCTCGACTTTCTAGAACGATCGAAAACTGTCTTTCTATGACTCATACGCAGCATCGCGATTATTCCGGCAGTTTCCATATGACTAGCGCTAGACTTAATACCGCGGGCAAGGAGTAAATAAAGTACAGAGACGGATCCGCGTCACATTATTATTGTCTACTCTATAATTTTAGAAATCATTGTGTTTTTTTTTAGTCCTTGATAATTCTATTTTTTGTTGCATTAATACACATAAATACTGAGAAAATCTTTTAATCATAAAGTGGCACAACTAAAAAATGCTAGTTTTGTAGAATCTGTCATAAATTGTTTGATATATGGACTTATCTTAGAAAATTTACAAGTATTATGAATAAATAAAATTTGTGAAAAGGTTAAGAAATATGTTAAAGATGATATAGTGTTTTTTGAAGGAAAGAAGGTTTTATTGTTATATAAAAAAATTAATAGGTCACTATAAAAAGAATATGTATCAATTCGAAATGTGTCAATTTATGATTAAAAATTGCATAACGATTTTAGAATTATTTTGAAATAGTTCTTTTTTAAATTATATTAAAAAAAAATATCTAGTAACAAAGCAAAAATGCCTCTTAGAATAAAATTTAAAAAGTATGTTGTTGGCACACAACTGAAATTATGCCGCATTCTTAGATTTAAACCAACTTACAAAATCCTATAGAACTAAACTTGCACAGAAATAAATCTGCACTTCTTCCTGGCTGACTATTTAAATGTAGGTCGGAGTTACCTCAACAGATGGCACTACTTTGGGTCGTTTTATTACCGAAACTCGACATTTCAAAATTGTTATTTGTGCCAATTTATATATTATAAGACTTTAATTTTTTTGTTGCTTTTTATTATTTACTTAGATAAACTTTTTTTTCAGAAAAATTATTTATTTATTTATTATTTGTTTTTTACCACCTTTTATCCACCTTAACTCTGCAAGTTTTAGAGGAAAAATGTTAAATATAATTTTTATGTAAAACTATGCTTTTTACAATCTTTTTTTATACAGGGTGATTCAAAATTGAGTGCAAAAATTTTAAGGGCGTATTCACCAGCCAAAAATAAGAAATTTTTTTCATATGACGGTATGTCCTAACTTGCTTTGTTTTCTAGATACAGGATGTCAAAGTTTTTTAAAACAAAACGGTTTTTTAACAATTATTAATTAAATAAAATCACACTTTGAGATGTCACTGGAATAAATAATGAATTTCATAACACAAATAAAAATTAGGACAGACCTATTTGGCGACAATATATAATAGGGCCAGGCACAGATTTTTATTTTTTTTTTCTTGGAAACAAAGCTAGGTACGAGTAAAACTCAAGAGGCAAAAAGTCTACCAAATTTTATTTAAATATGCTGAAAGGTTTTTGAGTAATTGATAAAAAACGGATATTTTTAAAAAAACTTTGACATACTATATCTGGAAAATAAAGCAAGTTAGGACATATGATTATATGAATTTTTTTTCTTATTTTTGGCTGGTAAATACTCTCTTAAAATCTTTGCACTCAATTTTGAATTACCTTGTATAGAACTCTACAATTTTTTAAAAATCATTTTATTTTTTTGTTTTTCGCCATTTGCCGGGGCTTGAAAAACTAAATTTTTTTACATATCGTTTTCAAATACTTTTAAAGTGACTCATATCAAAAATTCCTGGATTTTCTGCAAAATAATGATTTTTTAAAGGTCTATTTGATTGGACTATTTTGAATTCCCAACAAGAAAAATTTATCGAAAAATTAAAAAATCTGTCTGCATGGAGATTTGACAGATTTTTTTTTTTTATTTTTTTTTAAATTTGTTTTCTTCTTGCTTGTTTAAAAATAACTTTCATTATTTCGTAGGGGGGGTAATATTGGAAATTTAATTTCATATTTTTTTGGATGACTTCAGTTGATAGCCTATTGTACTGAATTTTCAGTTCAATAAATGACAATTATTATTTTTTGGATAGTTTTTGGAACTTAAAAACCGTTCCTCTCGCAGATACTAATTATAATTTCTTTTTCAGGTACTTTGTCTTTCTGTTGCTGTCGGACACGTAGATATGAACGTGGATGAGCTCGTACAAAACGTCCATCTTTCGATCAATTTCTTGGTTTCGTTGTTGAAGAAACATTGGCAAAATGTGAGATCGCTTCATGTCAAATCTTCCATGGGACCTTCGCAGAGATTGTATTAATTTATAATTTTATATTTTTTTACATGCTGACTGAAGTGTGTATGAAATAAATCTTATTAAGTTTAAATTGGATTTTTATTTGCTATATGCCATAAAGTAGGTAAATTAGTTATTTTTATATTTTTTAATTTTGCTTATGTATATTTTTTGCAAAAAACACGTGATGGTTCTAGATCGCACAGATTAGGTATGTTAGTTAAGTTTTGTTCAATTTTTTTTATAGTATTTATAACTTTTTTGTGAAGAAACGCGCGATGGGTCCAGGCCGCATCAGTTGGGTAAATTAGTTATATATTTTCTTTTAATTTTATGTCCTCGTATATTTTTTGCAAAGAAACGCGATGGTTCCAGGCCCCACAGGTACTGTAAATCAGTAAGTTCTTAATTTTATATATAATTTTTTCGAAGGAACTGTTGATTAGGGTGGAGCGAAAACATTTTTTTTTTAATTTTTTACTCAACGTCTTGAGGTGGCCCACTGATTTTTTAAATTAAATTCAAGACTTGACAAATGAAGTATCACTCAACCCCTCTTCCTTATTCAATTTTGAGGGGTTGAAGAGCCCCCTCATAGGGGGTTGCTAGTTCAAGCCTCAAATATACGTCAAAAGATGTCCCCCAAAGAAAATCATGCGACGTGTTTGGGGAAATTTTTCCAATTACTATGGGATAAGAAATATACGGGGTGGCTCGTCCGAGATGGAACATCCTGTATGACAAAAAATTAGTTAGGCAACTTTTAAAACATGAACTAGTGCTGAATTTTAGTTTTAGTTATTTTAAATCGAATTTTGTGAAAACGAACTTAAAAAATAGCAAAAACATGCAAATTTAAACTATCGATATTTACTTAAAACAATCAATAGTAACAAACTATCGGTAGTATCCGACCACTAGTACAAAACAAATATATTTGGTTTTGATTCCCAGCAGCGCACGGTGTGTCCATTTCAAGATCTAGGGGGACTTAATTAAAACAAACAAATATTTTTATTTCATATATAGGCTGGAAATAGCTTTACTAATTTCTAATTTTCTGAGATAATTACATAAATTTTTATATACAGGGTGTTTTAACGACACTGATATAGTTTATTCAAGGAACGATATTATAACGAAAGTTTTTTATGGGACTAGGAGAATATTTTTTAAGAAATACTAAAATTATATTAGTAAACACAACCCTTTTAGTACCCTCAGCTGTTCCGACTCTGCCTAAAATCTAATCAGTTCACCTCAGGCCGAAATAAAGCTCAAGTTTATATTTTAATGTTTTTTTGTCCGTTTTTGAGTTTTCTTTAAAATTCGAAATTCACACATTTTCTTAAATATCTCAAATACACGGTCCATTTTAGGGAAATTATGTATGGAATAAAAATTATAGAGAATTATATCATTAACAACTGTTATTTAAACAATTTTCTTAAAAATTTGTATTTTATACATTTTGTCTTTCTTGAACACGGATCATTTTAAGAAAATTTTGTATAGAGCAAAAATTAAAGAGAATAATATAAGAAGTAACTTTTATTTAAATAATGTTCTTCTCCAAACGTCAATAACAAATATATTCAATAAAATATAAAAATGCCCCTCTATAAAGTATACCCCCAGATGCTCAGACTCTGCCTAAAATCTAATCAGTTCACTTCAGGCTGGAATAAAGTTTAAGTTTAAAATTTAGTGTTTTTCTTTGTATCCATTCACGAAGTATTGAGGATAGAGACACACACACATACATCATCGCGAAAATGGTCAAAATGGATTCAGGAGACTCCAAAACGTAAAAATCCGTTGAAAAAATTACGATTCCTATATTTTCCTTATCCGAAGGTCCTGCTAGCTATTTTACATCTAATACGTATGTTGATGATTGAATTTGTTTTTGTTCAACTACCTTATCAAGTCGCGAATTTTTAAGTCAGTTACCTACATAATTCCTAATAAGTAAAATATTGTAATATCCCGCGCAGGACACGGATCTGAATGTGGCAGATGGCAATTGGTGAAGGGAAACGCAAATGTAAGAAAGTAACAATGGCATATACAGGGTGGTCCATATTTGTGGAATATATTAATTATTGGCTTTATTATTACGTTTTAAGAAAAATCCTTGAACAGATCGATTTTTATTTCTAAAATGACATTTTCTGAACAAAATTATTTATCTCCCCCTTTAACCCCTTCGGAGTAAAAGTCACCCCTTTAAATTATTTAAATAGAAAGGGGTAGCGTGTGATATTTCATTTTAAAGGACTTTTAAGTCTCTATTCAGCAGTATAAGATTTTTGTCTTTTGTACATTTACAAAAAACAAAAAATCTTATACAACCACCAGATATCAAATTTTATTAGTCGTATAAAGAATAAAGGTAGTTTACTCTTGAGTAAAACTCATATTTTTTGACAAACCTCGTATACCACTGAAAAAATTTGATATTTAATGATTGTATTATGTTTTAGATAATGCAGAACTTTTATGAAAAATAACTTTTTTTCTAAAATTAATAATAAAAAAGTTTTCCATATGATTCCAACCTAGGGGGACATACTGTATAAGAGTTCCTGAAATAATTTAGGTACGTTTTTAAGTTATCGTGAATACAGACACATGCACACACAGACGTCATCGCGAAAATGAAAATAGCCAAAACGGATTAAGGGGACCGCAAAACGTAAAAATTCGTCAGAAACTCAAGGTCGAAAAATAATCATGATTTCCGTACCTGTTTTAATCTACTGTATAATAAAAATGTAATCACAAAATCTTAAGAAATGTAATAAAATAAAAAATAGTAAATCGTGAGTCTTGATGCGACCCCAGGTGGATTTACTAAGACAATATGTCAAACATAATATTAAAAAAGAAGTAATTAATAGAAATTATAATTATTATTTGATACATTATTTCTAATCACGTGAAAATATAAATAATTCAAGCATCTTAAAATAATTTACATTATTACACAGTTCAAATCTTTATACGCTTTTCGATAGTATCAACAACAAACAAATTAAATTCCCCAAAAGTCGGCATAAAATTGAAACAACTGCATTCTAAAAATAGATCATATGAATCTCAAAGGGGGATCTTGCTTATCATTACATGACAAACCCATCACTAGTTCAAAGTTCGGAAATCCTCGAAAACATGTGTTGTGCAGAGACCCCTGTCTCGCAAGGAAATACAAAATCAAAATATGGTCTCTTTATGCGAAGAAATGTCGGCTAGTAAAGTGCGAGAAATTTAAAATAATAATAGTGTCGGTTAAATAGTATTTTTTATTTAAAAACTATGTTTAAAAAAAGTGAAAACAGTACACAGTTGAATGGTGCAAGTTTATTTAATTCAAATTCTGGAAGTTTAAAATTTTCAAGTTGTAAATGTTGTTTAATGGTAACACATGAATACATTTTTTCAATATTTACGTTAAAAAGTACTATCGTAAAAACTAGGAACCTGTCATAATAAAAAAGGAAAAAAAAATGAGATAACAAAGATACATACTTAAATATAAATACAAGCACTGTAAGAGCTTATATATGAATTCTACGATTTTTGTTTACAATTTATTTCCTTTCAGTCTTTCTTTTCCAGCTCTGACAACGTTTAATCTTTAATCTCTTTTTCTTATTTGTCTTTTGATAGTATTTTTCTCTTATTCTTCCACCTACTTTACTATCCAGTATTTTCTTTAAATCTTTATCACTTGTCATTCTTAAAATATGTGGCATCAATCGTATTTTTTGCAATTCGATGACCCTCCATTATATTTGAGTCTTTATATATACTCGAACAATTTTTAAATGATGGCAATAATGTATTTCTAGAATTAACTATAATCCTCCCATGCAGCGGCGTAACAATATTCGCGATAAATTGTTAATTGACACTATTTTATTGATTTACGTTAAATATTGTTTGATCTACTTTGTATGAAATGTCTGAAAAAGTTGACAAGAAATGGGAATTTTTAATTATTAATTATATAAAAAAAAATATTTATATCTGCAATAATAAATCAATAATGAAGAATAAAACTTGTAAAATATTTAGTGGTATACAGGGAAAAAAATTGCATATCAATTTAAATATAAAACAAAATGTAGTTTGAAATATTATAGGATTTAAGAAAGAATAGCCTTCTAATAATCAATAAATTTAAGATTAAAAAAAATTCTTAAATTAGGAATTGTTAGATTTATTTATTACACAAGATAAATTAAATTAAAAAAATATGTATACAGAGAGAGAGAAATTGTTTTCTTGGGGAATGCAGTCAAAAAAACTTTTTAGGCCAAAATTTTTAGTAAAACTCTTTGATTATCGTTAGGCTTTCGGAAATGTTTATTTCCATTATCAAGATATTTAGTCTTAAAATTATAATTAAAATGACTTCTAGTTGTGAGGTTAAAATTTGAAGTTACAAGTGCACAAAATAGTTGACATCACAACACCAATGTATAAAACATTGATCATTTATTTCATCTTTAATACTAACTTCAACTAGTTTATTTAAAAATTCTCTTACAATTGTGTTAAAACCGAAATAATCTGATAGTAATGATAAAATTGTTGGTTTTTATGTAGTTTTTTATGTTCTATGTATTTTGAATTTGATTGGTCAATTCAAGGACAAATTTTGAAATTGCTAGATGACAGACAAGATACCAACTAAATTAAAAACAGTGTCACCAACTTAAACAACTTAAGTTATATTTTAGAATGAGAAAAAAAGAAGAAAGCAGTAAAAGGAACCAAAATTTTAACTTTATTCCTTAAATATGATATAGATAAATGAAGCAAGTTTATTTTTATATTTAGGAAAATAAAAGCAACAAAAAACTGTTTGTTAATTAACATTTTTAATATAAAGTGAAGAAAGTTAATTTTGTTAATAAAGCAAAAAACATTAAATAGGGACAACCTTTAAGAGAATTGACGCATGTGAAATCAAAAGGAAACAAACATTTTTAAATTTTAAATTAAATTTTAAGTAAAAGATTTTTTATTTTAAAAATTCTTAATTCAAACTTTTTTTTCCTCAAAAGTGTGTAAGTAGCTATAAATATTACTTAAGTTCTTTATGTCAGTTTTATTTATTCAAACAGTTTGAGGAATTGTTGATACAAGTCAGTAATTATTTTAGTGTCTTGAAATAAACATTTCCAAAAGGTTGACGGTGAACAAAGAGTTTTACTAAAAATTTTGTGCTAAAAAAAGATTTTTTGACTGCATTCCCCAAAGAAAACAATTTTTCTCAACATATTCCAGTCAGAACTACCCTTTTTCTCTCTTACACGAATACTTATACTTACATGAATCACATATAAATCAGTAATCAAGAACAAAATAAAAAAATATTGATTTATGCTCAGAACTCGAATACTCTGAGACATTGAATTCTATCACCACCTTTTCTATTACATTGTTCACCATCCCGTCCAATCTCCACATTTTGTCTTCTTCCTTGATGACGTGTGTTACGGCATTTGTCCAATATTCTTTCCGTATTTGTGCCATTCCGATTTCCAGTAAATATTGGACGTTGCTAATTTTTAATGTAACGTTTTCACGAGCTACGTTACCCTTTATTTGAGCCCAAATAAATTCTATTGGATTCAATTCAAAATGGTACAGAGGAAGTCTTAATCCGGTTATACCTCAAGCAAGAGCCAATGTATCTACAACATGCTGACGATATCTGTCTCCATGCTGTTTAATTATGGTTATGAGCTCCCTTTTAACCGTGGCGTCAGAAAAGGAAATTACCTTTTATCGTAACCAAGCATCACCGCTTTTTTAGTGGCCATAGTGGGTAGACGTTCCACTAAGCGACTGTGATAAGAAGCGCTATCAAGCACTATAACTGAATTTGGCTCGATCCGTCAAAGTAGAGTTTCAAACCAACCTTCAAAGCGTTGAGCATCCATGTCTTCGTGATAATCCCCCGTTTGTTTAGATAAGAAAACTAAGGCACTGTCGTTTAAAAAACCACTTTCACCAGTTGGTCCTCGTAATCCTGCTGATAGACCTTCCACAAATGCTTGTCGATAACTTGTTACCGTAGCAGTGGCGTACCCCAGATATGGATCTTGGGAGGGGGATAACAAAATTGAACATGGAACAAATTTTTATTGTCAATTTGAATATTCTATTTTATATAACAAAATTTAGTCACCTAGTTCAAGGGTTAATACCATATTAGATAACTGATCAACAGGGCCGACTAGGGGAAGGGGCAACCGGGACTAATTTCCGGGGCACGGGCTCAAACGGGGGCCCGGCAGCGAAATAAGGGGGACTGGTAGCGGTGTTTGTTACTTTGAGAAGTTCGACATAAGAGGGGAGAAGTTCTTTCTTGAAGACCTTTTTTTTAGATAAATTCAAGTAGAGGAGGAGAAATTTTTGTTTGAAGACTTTTTTTAGATAAATTTTTGCTTGAAGACCTTTTAATTATTTTTGATTTAATTTTTGATAAAATTGTCGCGGGACTCGATCTGGAGAATTGTCCTGGGGCCCGGTCTGGCTCTCGGCGTCCCTGCTGATCAATGAATTATATCATCGATGATGATACAAGTAGAAAACTCGTACACGAGCTATACAACACCCTGTATACCTCCCAATAATTTTAAAATGTTAACCTCAAACCTGTCCGTAATTTTCTTAATACACTTTTTTAATATCTCTTTCAACAAGGAAGATATCGAACTTTTCCACAAGATTGGTCCACCCTATATGTATATCTTTGTTTTAATATGAAAGTCTCGCTCGCAAAAGTTATTACTAAGCGGATCACCTGTATTTTTGAAGATAATAGTAACATACTCGTATATTTACTTCATTCAAATATCATGTATATTTCATAGAAGTTTGTTGACTATGGTCAGGCCTAGATTCTTGACTTTTTCATTCTATATTTATCCCGTCTATTTTTTGTTAACATGCTTTAATCCTAGGTCATCATTATTTTCATATATTTAATATATTTCCTTCCTTAAATTATTTATTATTTGCCCTTGTTATCATACTTGTTCGTTTAATAACTATAAGTGCTTTATCAATAAGTCACCTGTGTTTTTAATAACATTGTAATAAAATTATTAAATGTTTTATGATCCAAAAACAGGATAAAGAAATGCTATATGATCTGCAAATATGTTTTATCTAAAAAAAAAATAGTTTTAAGTTTTATAAAAGAATAAATTATTAGAACAAAAAAAAATGTATTCAAAACAGTAACACAAGATTCGTAAATTGCACTATTTATTATATTTAGGTGGTTTGCCCTGTTATCTTCGCGCTTGAGATAATCACTGATAACTCATTTATCTTTATTAAATACAACAAGTTTAACTAATATTACTTATCAACATTTACAGCTCGTTATTTAGGAATAATTCAGTTTCCAATGTAAGGTCATCCCGTTGATTCATATACAGTGCGATATTACAACCAGACTTTGATAATAGCTTCCTTCCTAGAGTTCGGTTTTGATTTCGCCCAGCTATTTGTGTCGTCTGTACATCACTTTACAGTGATATATAACAATGAGACAACGGTTGGTGTTTTTACTTGTGTGTTGTGTATGTGATGTGATTTCCAAAACGAAATATTTTACCACCGAAGATGATTTAAGTTTTACACCAACAGAGAAATATGTAGATGCTACTGATATCGACACAAGTGATATTTCTTTTACAGTTAAAAGCACTGCAAGCCTCAACGATGATATTGAAGAAAGTACTTCCCCTATTTCGGTACCAAAATTATCAAAAATTACTGAAGCAACTACAGAAGTCGTCAATGTTAGTGATAAAATTAGTAAAGATTTTATATATAGTGCTTCCAATAGTATTCCTACGACAGAAAAACTTACAAGTAGTACCACTTTGATGATAAGTAATGCGACCGTTACAGGAGTGTCCACAAGTACTACTGATATTCCACCAATTATTACCACAATACCATATCCTCATAGATCTTTTACACTTAAAAACACTGCAAGCCTCAACAATGATATTGAAGAAAGTACTTCCCCTATTTCGGTACCAAAATTATCAAAATATAGAATCGAAAATCCCCAAATTACTAAAGCAACTACAGAAGTCGTCAATGTTAGTGATGAAATTAGCATTCCTACGACAGAAAAACTTACAAGTAGTACCACTTTGATGGTTACAGGAGTGTCTACAAGTACTACTGATATTCCACCAATTAGTACCACAACGGCAAATCCTCAAAGAATTTGTTCAGGTCTGTATTAACAATTGAATTATTATGCTAAAGTGTTATTCAATAAATTAATAAAATATGTTTAGATCAAGCCCCACTTCATCCAACAATTTTAACCTTTTTCGGGATAGATAGGAGAACTATTTTTTCTATGTTTATACTCTTAATACAAAACTGCAGTTTCTTAGCCAACGATTTTATCTTTTTTCGGCATAAATAGTGGAACTATTTTTTCTACATCATTTCTCTTAATACAAAACTTTCTCAATTATTGTTGATTAAGAATATGCGGTAATTTCCTTATTTAATTTAGATAAAACAAAGGAATTATTTTCGTATCAGGTCCTTATTTGATAACAAAGTATAGTAATTTCCTATTTATTTTAATTTTATTAAAAATAATTAAAACATTAAATGATTATCTCCAGAGTTTTAGGCCGAGGGGGGGGGGAGGGAGCCAAGAGGTATTATTATAAATTTTTAGTGAAATTTCTGAAAAAAAAGCTTGTATTTTTTCGTAAACCAGGTCGCGTATTTCTATAGTATACTACTGTGCAGAGCAAGCCGTATGTACCAACTTTTAAAGTTACTCCACATTACAATGTGTACTGCGATGCAGACATGGTTCTGTTCTGTAAAGTAGTATAATATGTAGTCGCCAATGGCGTATTTATAAACTACAAACTCTACTCGATTGCAGAACTTTGAAATTATTCGTTGTAGGTACGTATACGTCCTTTACTTGGAATTAGCAGTACCTATTTTATAACAGGTAAATGAAGTATAAATGTTTATTCCCAATAATGCAATTTTATTATAATAAACATAGAAATAAATTTTATAAAATATGTTGAAATAAAGATAATATAATATATAATAAATGCAATAAATAATATTAGGTCAAACGTTTATTAGTGTTTAAAACCCTGGACAAATAACTTCTCTAGAACACACATGAGAAGGAAGTAGTAAATAAGGTCACAAAAGCCCTAATGGTATGCAGAAACATTGCAGGTAAACGATGAGGATGTAACCCAAACATACTACGATGGGTGTATACTGCAATAGTGAGACCAATCATCACTTACAGTTCATCAAATTTCTAGAGGCTTTCGACGGCTAGACAGAGAAAGCACTACTGACAGGCATCCCGACGGATTTACGCAATGAAAGTACACTCTGCTCATCAAGTATTTCACTATTTCATTCAGACGTAAATGTCAGATGTAAATTTCGCTAAAACATTTCTTTTATTTTCGTTTGTGTTTTTTGCTCATTACAGTTTAATAGAACCTAAGTATGGAGTTTAATAGCAAATTAAGAGGCCGCGTGATTAACAGTCAATCTCGCGAAATAATAGCCAATGTTATAGAGTTTGTGAGAAGAGAAGGAAACTTTAATTCACCTTCAATACCATTTAAAAATGTAAATGATCGTGTTGCTGCAGCCACAGGAGTATCTAAAAACACTGTCGTCCGCATTTCTGGAGAGAAAAAAAGAATCGATAACCGTGAGATATCGGAATTTTCATCACCAAGAAAAACCATTAAAAAACCAAAAACAGTTAATGATATAGATGAAGCTGCACAAGAATCAAATTTTATTTTTTTATTATTAGATAGCTATTTTTGTTTCTGAGTTGTGTTCATTTACAGGCTCAATTTTTTTCCATTTCTCCTTTTTGATTTTATATGGGGTTTCAAGTTGTTTTTGACTTATTTCGACGTAAATCACAACAACACACTTTTTTAATAAAGCAAACAAGTGTTAAGAGGTATATGTACGTGTAAACTACAATTACAAAAAATTGATATGAAACCCATGAAACCACCAACAAAAATGTAAAGCTAGCTTCCGTACTAGAACATGGTGTCATTCGTCGAGATAATTTATCGTTTTGTTTAATAGATCAAGAAATGTAAATATTCCCCTGTTATTTTTTATAAAATTATAAGAGAAATAAATTTTTTTCTAAATAATATAGTTTATTATTTTGTAGAAAAACAAAATTTCGAAAATTTTAGTAATGTTTCAGAAACAACCGTTATTAATAATAGGTACCATTTTCCTTAATAAGGTAGAAATAAAATATAAACTATTTCCACGATTTACAAAGGCCTACAAAAAAATTATAGGTATTTTCCGCTATCCTATAAAATTTATATTTTCTGACTCAATTTCAAAAGGTTGAAGGAATTCCAAAACACCTTTTATAGCATAATAATTATTTTCAATTCTACATACTATCTTTAGCTGCTTTTAAAAACGTTCTAAGAAAGTCCAATCAGACCAATTTAATCCCTAAACTATTCCACACTTTTAAAATTTAATTACCTAAAAATATTAAAAACTATTTAAAATAACTTGTTTAGCAGACTGTACAATAGCTATCTTAGTCACACGTAGCGCGTTCTCTGTCTGGGCGTCGAACACCTCTAGAAATTTGATGAACTGTACGGGGCTATAGCCTGGAGTAACTGAACTAGTTTAGCTACTATTATAGAGCTAATATCTCAAAAGTACAAAGACTAGCCTGTGTTTGCATTACTGGTGCAATGAGAACCTGTCCTACGGCCGCAATGGAGGTGATCTTAAACCTCACCCCTCTATATTTGATGATAGAGAATGTAGCAAAAAGGACACGATATAGAATGATCAGGAACGGAGTAATCAGACGAAAGTCTACTTGCTTCAGTACTAAAGATACCTGGGACACGCCCCAGGATGAAATGCTAAAGAAGTACAGTTTTGTGAAAAACTTCAAAACCACAGAGCTGGGCCGCAAGAAAGAATGGAGCCAAGAATCCATCGCGCTTGCAACCGAAAGAGCTGATCATCTTCATGGCAAAAGCTTTTTAAAATTTGCAATATTTTGTTTTCACAATTCATTGCTAACGTGTCTATGACAGACTCCACAGAAAAGTAGACTTGCACTGACAGGAATAATATGGTGTTACATTACAGAGTCAAAAAAGATTGTGTGGCATGGCCAAAACATAATGACGCGATCTGTACTTGAGTAGAGTTTGTAGTATACAAATACGCATGGGCGAAGTTAAGGGGGGGCTTGGGGGGGCTAAGCCCCCCCAAAAACCAAATTAGCCCCCCCAAAAATAATTCGAACATTTATCGCACATCCACCCAAACATTTCAGATTTCAGAACAGAAATTAAAAAATAAAAAGAATCGTGCCATTTGATTGATTCTGCAATTTTACATTTAGTTCAGGAGGAAGTGAATTTTTTTCGTATTCATTTTTCCAGTCGGTGTATATGAAAAATAAACTGTTCTCTTAGTGACAAAAAACAAAATTTTTGAGTCTGACACTTATTTTCCCAGTCATAACTATTTTACATTTACTAAACTAGAACATAAAGCTTATAAAAATAGCAGTTTGGATTATCTCAGATAGTGGAAAGTGAGTGTGGCAGAAAATTGAGCATATAAATTGATACAATCATGAACTGTTTATAATAATAAGTCTGGCTGATTTACGAAATTGGATAATGAGTCTGGTAATATCTTCTAAATGGAAAAAATATAATATTTTTGCTTTTATTTTCCCGGGTTTGAAAATTTGTCACGTGATAGATTAAATTATAATTTTACACCTCCATTTTATAGCCAATCAACTGCTGTTATTTTAAAACACTTTCATGACAACCAGAAAAATTTCCGGAAATTTTTCTTTTGGTGGGTACCCTGAACGAAATTATACTGAAAATTTTTTGACAGTTTAGCAGCTCTTTCATGCATATAAAAAATTTGCCATTTCAGTGGTTAATATTTTATTTAATACCAATTATAACTAGGTAGAAATACACTACATTTATTTTATGTAAAATAATAATTAGGTTTTTCGCGTCAACTAAACGACTTCAAATATGACAAATGATCATGGTATGGCCACAGCATATAAAACATATGTTTTATATTCTGTGGTATGGCTACCTTTGAAAATTTGATTTCAGTCGTTTTAATGTATGTCTGTCAAGTTTTGAAATTTGGATATTTTGGTGTAAAACTTTCTTACCCAATACCAAACGTGCCTAAATTATTATCAGTAAATTTTTGCACACTCACGCATATTTTAAGAACGTTATCCATCTACTTAGGATACATTTCAAAATATTCGTAAGTGAAAATACACGTCTGGCTGACAATTACAATTACGGAGGCCTGCCAGACTCACAATTAAGTAGTGTCCGACCGAAGGTTCGGTTAAGGTTTCGGCCAACTTTGGCTTTAAATAATAGTTTCGGCAGAAAACTGACCGAAACTGCAGCCGACAGCGAAACTACTTTTAAAAATTTTCGTATCACATTTGGTTGTGTCCGGCACAATGGCGACTGTGCCGAGTGCCATTCCTACACAGTGCACGTACACACAAACTTCTCTGCTTTGTTTCAAGTGAACATGTCAATAAATTTATTAATGGCTTCTTTTGATCACATAAATAAACAGGTAATAAGTAAATGTAGCTAAAATTTATAATACCTACTAGTTAATTAGTCTAAAACAAGGATTACAATGAGATATTGCAAATTTCAATAAGAGATTGCCTTAAAAGAAAGTTCTTGTTTCTGTTTCGGCCGAAACTAAGAAAGGAGCCGAAATTTGGTTTCTGTTTCGGTTATAAAACCGTATTTTGGTCGGACCTGACAAGCCAGGTAGTTAAACGAGGAGAGGAATAGTAATCGAACGTGCCGAATTTAGCGCGCCTGACGGTCATTAGACGAGTCTGGCAAGGCTTTCGGGGTGTTCCACATTAGCCAGATTGTATTTTAAGCTGTTATCATAATATACATTTTTCTAGTAGTGAGAACACTTGTAACAGGGATCCTTACTGGACATTGCCAACTAAAATTACACCTTAGTAAACTGAGAGTAGTAGAAGATAGTGCAGATTTTGTGAGGAGGAGGAAAAAATCTTCATTCACATTCTAACTAAATGTGTAGCACTTCAGAATCTAAGGGCACTATACCTAGGAGCATATCAAATAGAAGAGGGAAATTTACCTAACTTGAAGCCACTCCAAATCCTACACTTCCTTGAGAAGATATAATTGAAAAGATCTTTATTCGCGATTCAAGCTAAGTGATACGCCCTCTGGAGGAAATTTGTAGAAGGTCCCTATAAGTAGGATATCGTTCAGTGTTGCCAGAAGTAGCAAAATTTCGCTACGTCGTCGGATTTTAGCTCTTGAAGAAGTGGATAAGACCTTTTATTTAAGAATCAAAATTTGTGTATTGTAATATGTAATCATACTCTATATTTATTTAAGGACTTTTTTATAAAACCGATTTATTATATTATTTTTTTTTTTTTTTTAATTTCAGTTCATTTATTAATTTTGTTTTAAAATCAGTTAATCATTTGGCAACGAGTTCATTGTTTACATTTTAATTTGTATCAATTACAATTCGAGTTTTTCTTACTTTTTAGCTTTAAATTTGTTTATTTCTTATAGTATGTGATAGTGTTTATGTTAAAAATGAAATCTGCGAAAAAGTCCCCAGCAAATTGCAATCTATATGGTGTTAATGTCGAAATCAAAACTGAAGTATTCATTATTTTCCAAGTGCAAGTCGTAAAATTGTGTTTTTTACCATAAATGGATATCTACAAATTCACAATATTGAAATTTTGCAAAACTTTGTTTAGAATCGATATATGATATTTTATCCATTTTCATAGATTCGCCAGAATTTTTTTACTTAACTTCAGTAGGTATACCTCTAGAACTATTATATATTATATGACTAGGGCTAGGGCTTTAGCCCCCCCAGATCTGATGACATAACTTCGCCCATGCAAATACGCCGTTGGGGATTACAAATTATACTAGCTTCCAGAGCACAGCGCTGTCTGCATCGCAGTACAGATTGTAATGCGGCTCGCGCCAAATATTACATAGCCTACTACGGTACTATGGAAATACGCAACCAGGTCCACCTTTGTCTGAAGAACTTCTAAAAAAAATTGTTAGGTGTGAGACGTCATTTGTTATGTTATCCATTAAAAAAATCCATTTTATTCGTATTTCGATGTACATCATTATTAATATATGAAATAGCTTCAAGAATTCCAAATGTTTTTAAAAAAAGTTTAAGCAATAAGTTCTTTTTGATATAAAAACAATAGATAAAAGGATTAGGTATATTTATTATCGATTAGACAAGTAGGTATTTACATTTATGAACAAGATAACTAATGATGACTAATTCATTTGGAGTTTACTTATATAAATAAACGTAGATTTACAGATAATTCAAATAAACTGCTGGCCAGTCAACTTACACATAGAGATATTGAAGGCAAAATTTAAAGTTTAATATTTTTAATACGAATGCAAATTTTTGAAGGCGGCTTGCAGATTTTAAGAGCTAGTTTTTTTCGGAATAAGCTGCTTGGGGTATGTCTAATTTGCGGATTGGAATTTGACCGCTGCCAGGTACTAAACGAGTAATAGTTAGGAGTTAATATTTCTGACAAGTAATATACATCCCAATACCTTTTTGCAAGGTGAAACCATTTTTCCCCCCGACGCCTCCAAGGGATACTTTGTTCATGTCAATTTTGACAAAATCAGTGCCAGGTACTAAAAAAAACGCGGTAAAAGGCTGAGACTTCGTACACGTAATACTTATCCCAATACCTTTTTGCCAGGTGAAACCATTTTTCCCCCATCACCTCAAAGGGGTACTTTACTCTTATCAATTTTGACAAAATTAGTGGCAGGTACTAAAAAAAACGCGGTAAATTGCTATGACTTCGTACTTTAATACATAACCCAATACATTTTTGCCAGGTGAAACCATTTTTCCCCCCATCGCCCCCAAGGGGTACTTTACTCTTGTCAATTTTGACAAAATTAGTGCCAGGTACTAGAAAAACAAGCTATATAGCTAAAATTTTGCACACGTAATTCTTATCCCAATGCCTTTTTGCCAAGTAGAACCATTTTTCCCCCATCGACTCCAAGAGGCACTTTACTCTTGTCAATTTTAACAAAATTAGTGCCAGGTACTAGAAAAAACGCGCTAGATTGCCTAAACTTCGCACACATAATTGTTATCCCAATACCTTTTTGTCAGGTGAAACCATTTTTCCTCCCATTGCTTCCAAGGGGTACTTTACTCTTATCAATTTTGACAAAATTAGTGCCAGGTACTAGAAAAAACAAGCTAAATAGCTTAAACTTCGCATACGTAATTCTTATTCCAATACATTTTTGCCAGGTGGAACCATTTTTCCCCCCATCGACTCCAAGGGGTACTTTACTCTCGTCAATTATGACAAAATTAGTACCAGGTACTAAAAAAAAAACACGCTAGATTGTCTAAATTTCGCACACATAATTTTTATCCCAATACCTTTTTGTCAGGTGAAACCATTTTTTCTCCCATCGCCTCCAAAGGGTACTTTTCTAGTACCTGATACTAATTTTGTCAAAATTGACATTAGTAAAGTACCCCTTGGAGTTGATGGGAGAAAAAATGGTTCCACCTGGCAAAAATGTATTGGGATAAGAATTACGTATGCAAAGTTTTAGCTATCTAGCTTGTTTTTTCAAGTACCTGGCACTAATTTTGTCAAAATTGACAAGAGTAAAGTACCCCATGCAAGCAATGGGAGGAAAAATGGTTTCACCTGGCAAAAAGGTACTGGGATAAGTATTATGTTTACGGAGTCTCAGCCTTATACCGCGTTTTTTCTAGTACCTGACACTGATTTTGTCAAAATTGAGAAGAACGAAGTACCCTTTGGAGGCGTCGGGGGGAAAAATGGTTTCAACTGCAAAAAGGTATTGGGATGTATATTATTTGTCAGAAATATTAACTCCTATTACTCGTTTAGTACCTGGCAGCGGTCAAATTCCAATCCGCAAATTAGACATACCCAGCTGCTTGACGTATATTTATCGTAGGACCAAAGGTTTACAATATACGGGGCGATCAATGAAGCCATGCATAAAATCAATTTGTAAGTTCAAATGGCCAGCAGTATAGTTACAATAAACTGACTTAACTGAACCATTTCTGAAATTTTACAAAATAGGCGTTATCTTTTTTGACTATATCACACAGGATATTTCCAGACTTGCCTCTAATAAATATGACTATGTGAACATCCTCTGGTTATGCAGATGGTGTTCTGCCCTATCTGTGTCTGCAGTTCTTGTAGATAGCAGCTTAGCCATCCACCTGGATGTAGTGCTATTTACTCCTCTGTATGCGAGTGATCTTTTAATCAAATGCTCCTTATATGTATAAGAAGGCACACAAAGCCGTTTATTTGTTTATCAGTGCATCTTGGATTTTTTTCAGTCAGTTGTAACCCTAAATTTAACTTACCAACTTGCAACAGTTTAAATAAAAATAATTTTACTTTTAAATTAAAAAAAAGAAGTAGTTTGTAAAGATTAAATTTTGAAAAACAACTCCAAACTTCGTTTCTTCAAATACTACTCTCACATTTTTATTTACCATATATATCACTGTCGACATTTTGTTGTTTTTTATGTATTATCACAACCCAACAGTAATCGCCATTTACAATAATTACCATAAATTAAAAATAATTTTATTAAACAAAACAAAATTAATGTAAATGTGACACAAAAAAGAAAAAGGCGAGTGGACAAAACTGACTAAATATAGGAGAAAAAAATAGTTGTCTACGTTGTACAGCAAGCTTTACATAATTAGTATATCAGGGCAGGTTCTAAGTATGGGCAAGCGTGCAGAGCGGCATAATTGAGGAGCAGCAATACAATAGGTTGACAAGTTGGACATTTTATGTTCCTTGATAGAAAAAGAAAATATATCCAAGGAAAGTTTTAAAATTTATTATAGAATTAAATTTCGTACCCAATTTAAATGTACTTATGATTCCTCTAACACTACCAGTTATTGGAGAGAGAAGTGTCTCAAGACTTATCTTCGGATCACAACATCGCAAAATCGTTCATATGCCCTTATGCTACTCTAGCGACACAACACGATCTATGCGAAAAAGTTGACAATTCAAAAATTACAAAAAAAAATCGTTGTGGTTAAGATTCGAAACATAATTCTACAATTTTGAAAACATGATAAATGACTTCAAATCTAAAAGTTCGGATACCAAAACCATATATCTCTGTAGCTCAACTGATAATAGAATAAGATCCCAGAGCGATAAAACATAACTTATTTTGTCAAAGATGAAACCTTAAGTTCTCAATAGCGTCTCATAGAAATTTAAGTTAAGTAACTTTTATTTTTAGTTACCCTTCACACCTAGTACCTGCCCAGGAGTCACAGGGCAAGCTGCACAAGCACGCAGGTATTCAAAGCACATGAGACGCTACTGAGAACTTAAGGTTTCGCCTTATCGCTCTGGGATCTTGGACTATAAGAGCATGGACGGCTACAGTCCAAAGGTTCCAGGTTCGACTACTGGTTGACGCAATCATTTTTTCTTTTCTTTAATTATCAGTTTTTCAATTATCTTTGGTTTGTTTTCACTTTAGAGAATATGGGGATCTATTTTTCATAATTTCAGGACTTTTCATTTTCATTGCATTTTAGTTTTCCGAATCTCAATCGATTTTTCTCATTTTTCTTTCAATTTACCAACAAATTTTCCTCATCACTTTTTGACATCGCAATTTTTACCTCTACATACTATTAACATACATTTAACATTTTGCAGCTCCAAAATTAAACTATAGTGATCTTCAAATATTCTGGGATAACGACTCAAACGAAGATAAATGTGTTAAAACTAATATAACCTTTGATTGCACTCGGATTAGCGATGGGGGAGGTTATGTAAATGCGACGTACAATTTGGCCGATACCAAAAATTATGCAGTTCTAGATAAGGATTCTCTTAATCTCCAGATAGGATACCAATACAACTGTATATCAGAATTTAGAGATGAAGAAAATGTGGTAGTATCAGATTCTACGTCAATGATAGTACCTCCTGGATCTTTAAGTAAGTAACATGCATTTTTATATAACCTTACAAACTTTGAGCACAATTTTGTTTTTTTAAGAAATTAACGTGACTACAAACAACTTGACGGTGGCCTGGAACGCTCCATTTATTAACCAAACCCTAGCTTACACAGTATCTATTAAACTTTTACGGTCACATCATTATGTTCCCAATGAGTGTGAAAATGGTGATGGCAGTATGTTCAATTATACCACAAATAACACATACTTTCTTATAACTGATTATTTGCCTGACTATGACTATGTTGTAAACGTTTCGACAACGTTTTGGGACATACATACGTATAATAGAGAGGACTGCTTTATGACAACGCCAACTGCAGGTAAGTCTTCAAACTATTTTGGGAAAGATACCCTTTTATCAAAACAAACTTCTAAGCATTAGATCTTTAAATAATGTAATAATACATTGTTCTGTTAGGAGGAATGATTTTCCAAATGTAAATAAAGATTTCTATCGTCCTGCACTTGAAACTTCCATAACAATAAATACAGATAATAAAACAACAAAAACAGTTCCCAATGAAGCTAAATGTAATTATAAAAACACTAACTGTCTTTTACTTATCGAAACGGTTAGAGATGCCGACTGGTCCGACGTTTTCATAGCTTTAGATAAATTTTATACAATTTGGAATGGAGTTGTCGATGCCTGTGTAACCAAATTGAAAGTAACAAAAAATCAAAATAAATTTCCCTGTTGGTCTACCAAAGAAATAAAAGATCTAATTGAAAAAAAAAAGAAATTTAGAAGGCTAAGGAAAGTTTGTGATGTATTCAATAAACAATTTATAGACTTATATAGATTTTTGGAATTATGTTAATAAAAAAAAGGAAAATTCAGTTTATTATGAGAATTATACATATCAGGGTGAACCTATTAATATAAATAAATTAGCTGATGCTTTTGCAAATTTTTTTTCTCCGTTTATACTTCTAACAAAGCAACTTAATAACATTTTTAAATTAATTTCAGCACCAGACTCTCCTGCAAACGTTTCAGTAGAAGAATACGTCAACGCAAAAAATGAGAAAGAATATACATTACATTGGAAGATGCCGTGTCATTCAAACGGCAAAATTCAAAAATATCACGTCAAGATAACAAATTTAAATGAAAGTAAGGTTGTGGACGATGAAGATGTTCCAAATTCAAGCAATGAAACTGATTGCAAATTGAATTTAACAAACCTTGCTAAACAATCGATTTTTAACTACGAATTATACGCAGTAGGCGCGAATAATGAACATGGTAAAAGTTTTAAAGGGACTTTTGCGACTGCAAGTAATGGTAAGATGTTTGTATAGGTAACTAAAAGTAAAGGGGAAAAGGGGAAGCAAAAGGATGCGATGAGGAATCAAAAAGATGCATTGATGGGACCTGGTATATTGTATGTTGTTATGCTGATAATGATGCACGTTTTATAATGATAACATAAAATAATCATAGCGATGATGTCTAATAATAAAAAATAACTAAATTTTAAATAGCAATAAGAACATATTTGACATCTTTTTGATGCTCCATCGCATCCTTTTGATTCTCCATCGCTTCCTTTTAATTCCCCATTGCATCCCTTTGATTCCCCATTACATCCCTTTGATTCCCATCGCATCCTCTTGATGCCCTATCGCAACGCATCCTTTTGCTTCCCCTTTTCCCCTCTACTACTAAATATTTAACTGGTATGATTATTTTTTTAGTAATACCTGCTCCAGTTGTTACTTCAATTGATATAGGATCTACATACTTTATTATCGAGTGGACAATGCCGAATATTTCAGTAGGAAACCCAAATGTATACACATTTGATATTGAAATTGAAAATCGAGGACCTAGATATCGACTCAAAGAAAATTGTACAATAAATCCAAATCATCACGAGGTGATACATAATGAAACAAGCTACAACTATACTTCAGCTAGTCCTTATTATTTATATAACGTAACGGTAACAGTTTCCAGTTCAGAAACAAATGTTAACAGCTCAGGATATGTGATTGTAGAAACTACTTCTTCAGGTTAGTAGTACATACAATAAAAAGTACGATTTTTAAGTCTTGCAAAAATTTGAATAAATAAGATTGATACCAAAGTATATCTTTCTCCGACTGTATCAAGCTGAATTATGTTCTGCTGGTGGTAAATAAGATACTGGCAACGTTAACACCATTTGTTATTATAAATCCATTAAAAACACTGGTTTACACTTAATAATTTGGATAAAAACACTAACTGTATAAATTCATCACACTCTGGCCTGTATTTCTATGCTGTAATAAAATACGTAGGGTCTCAGTATTAAATATCGAATTTATACTCGTACTTATTAAATATTTGTTAATTTAATAACGAATTTTATTACTTTTTAGTACCTGACCCACCCGACAACCTAACACTGAACGTGAATGAACACACTTTGTTTTCTGAATTAAATTGGGAGATGCCATGTAACGTTAACGGACTAATATCTAATTTCAATGTAGTCGTTTCCGAGAGGTACAGTGAAGACTCTACAGAAAATCGTACTACATATCCAAAGAAATCAAATGAATCCACGATGAATATACAACTACAACCATCGCACATGTACGAAATAAGTGTAAGCATATTGCTAGACGATGGATTAGAAGGAAAACGAGCTATTGTAAATTACACAACTCCAATTGGTTGTAGGTATAAATGTGTTTGGTATTATACATATCCTTTTCGGGATTAAAGTCGTTTATATTTATATTGTTAAAATGTTACTCAACCTAATTTAATTTTAATTATTATTAATTACAAATGAACAATTAATGAACATAGTTCACTGGAATTAGACAAAAAATTAGCTTGAAATGAAAATTTTTAGTAAAACTTAGAGACCCAGATAACACTGGTTTTAAATTCTTTTAACAAAATTTCACCATGCGCAGAGATTAGAATGATCGAAAGAAGATATATATACATATATACAATTTTCGGAGTTCAGTTTTGTATTTTACTGAGCTGAACAATTTTATATCGATTATTTCCTTATACATTTTAAGTTAGTAGCACTATTTTACTTTTCAGTTCCAGGAATCCCAATTCTAAACGTATCAAATGTTTCTAACACATCTTTTGTAATCGAATGGCTACCGCCCATTGAAAAAACCGGCCCAATTCAATATTATGAACTAAATATAACCTCTCTTGGGCCTCTTTATAATGTTCCCATGGAATGTCGGACCCATGATGATGACGTGTTTAAAATAATTGGAGTAAAAAGTCCAACGAGCTATTCTCATTCAACGGCTTTAGCGTATAATAGATACATAGTGCGCATTAGAGCAAATACTTTAAAAGGATATGGAAATTTTTCTATTGCCGAATTCGACACAACTGAAGGAGGTTTGTATTAGACTCTTTTGTGGGAATAACTAGTGATTTAAATCCAATTATTATTATATCTATTCTTATGTTAAAATGAAGGACACCATAGCGTAAGATTTTTTCTATTGAACTTATTGTTTTAGTACCTGAAACTGTCCGTAACGTTGGATATACAATTAATAATAATTTAACTGAAGAATACGATGCTACCGTTTCCATAACTTTTGATCGACCTTGCCACACATATGGGATCATCAAGAACTACAGTATAGAATACCATGGTATGCGTAAATCATACCCAGATGACCATGGTCGGATGGTAATCAACGCTAATGATTCTAAATTTGTGTTTAAGTTACAACCAGAATACAATTATACTTATGACATCTGGAGTAGTAATAGGTTTTTAAAAAATGTTACGGAAGGTTATTTTAACTCTCCAGCTGGAGGTACGTACATTATTTTCATAATCTAAGTGTAGGTAGTGCAGGTACTTAAGCGATTTCTTCAGACACTCATTTAGGGTACTCAGGGAGTGAACATATTTAAAAACCTAACGTCTAGGAGGTGACCCGGAGGGAGGAGGCACAGATAAAGTTCCGCTTTTGGGTTTTTCACTTGTATTTCGAAAACGGTACGTGATAGAGAAACATTTTCTTGTAGTAAGTGAAAGATGATTAAATTATCTACAATTTTCAATATATACATTTTTGTCGAATACCCAACCGTTCTCGAACTGCACGCTATCGTCCAAACTATTCGAATAATCATTGAATTAGAAAAAGACATGTAAAAGATCATTAATTTTATTTTATTTTAATAATTTCTTGGATTCTCTGGATTCACGTTTTCATTTCTTTTGCTCGTGAGGGTCCTGGCAGGGATCTATATCCATAGAATCCTCCTTGCTGGTCTTCATCGTCGTCCTCGTAAACAGTTACGCCATTATGGCATTTCATTTGGCACTGGAGGCACCCGCAGAACAATTCAATATTGCTTTCCGGTATCCACATTTGCCACTACCACAATCCTTAGTATAGCAGCAAAATATCGTCTTTAGTAGGACCTCCAGTGCTGGCGGATCTTCGTTGTAATGCATGTAATAAATGTTTCCACCCCCGCTCTTCAGGGGTAAGCTTATTCCCGAGCCATTTCTGCATTTGATGGTAGGTGCGTCGGATATGCTGTTAAGCTGGGCTTTCAGTTGGTGTCACGCTTGCCACTGACCTCAAGAACGAATGGAAGCAGTACTGATGAAGGGGAATATCTGTCTGGCTGCTGCCCCATACTATTTGAGAAAGCACATTTTTCCAGTCTCTTCAACCTCGCAGGGTTTATAAAAGATCACTACCACTTCCCTGATAATTTCTGACTTCAAGTACAATTTACAAAAGCCCACTTTGCTTCTCCTGAAAGTTCCAGATGTTGTGTCGCAACAGGTAAATGAATGTAAGAACAGAATGCTACAAAACTGTGACTGGATGGTTCTATAGCAGTCTTCACGATAAGGAATTCAGCATCGTTGGTGGCCTGGAGAACCTGTATCCCATTCTCATCAACCTTTGTCCGTAGTAAGGAGATAAACGGACTTTTGTTGGTAGGATTGGATAAAAAATCTTCTTGTTTCACAATGTGAGGTAAAAGTTCATTCACATTTGCGAGAACGGTTGGGAATTAAAAAAAAGTGTTAGATGCTTTTATCAGTTTTCCTACGATGCACCGTTTTATAGATATAAGCTTTGTACCTCTTAGACTTCAGGACTTTTAATATGCTCATTCCTTTAGCACCCTGAACAAATCTCTTAGGTACCTGCTCACGCACTCTACACCCCCTTTTGCCTCATTCGCTTAGTCATTCATTTAGTTTTATAAATTCCGTTAAAATTTTCAGTACCAACGTTCAACGCAAGTATTTCTATACCAATCGATTCCATAAGCACGGAAAACGCGAAAATTGTTTTGAGGAAAGACTATTTTAGTCAAAACAATGGAGATGTGAGATATATTGCTTTATTGCTTAGAGAAACCATGTCGCATCCTAATCACAATTTCAGCAAATGGAACTCAAAGGATTGGCCAGCTCCGCAAGCGGGAGTTCAACAGTTGACAGATTGTTTTTGGAATCCTTTTGAAAGTAAGTATAAGTAGAAAATAGGAATAATGTATTTCAAGACTTTGATGTAAATTTTGGTCTTCTCACGAGGCTCACGATACTTGAATTCCAAGAAAAACATATTTTGCACCTACAATATATTTACTAGTATTCTAGCGCGCAGAATATAGATAGTCTTCTCATTCATGGAAAAGTTTCAGTAATTTAAATACAAATACCAACTCTTTATAATTAAACCTTTCTGTTAAAACAAATTTTTGGTATTTTGAAATAATCTTTTTGAATCTAAATTTTCTCATTTTTAATTATACAGGGTATTTAAAAAGTCATTCAAAAAATTAATGGTTAAGCTAACTACAGACCTGTAAAATATTTCTATTATGTCAAAGTAATGAACAAATGCAAAATTGAGACATTTGAATAGTACTCATAAACCAAATATTTTACCGTGAGTCAATTTTTCCGGTCTTTTCAAATATCTCGTCAAATATGCAATATTTTGATATACAGAGTGTTGTTTTTGAGGCGAAAAATATGATACATGCCAAATTTTTAATTTTTATTGTTGTTGACTTTTGACCAACCAAAAATTCATTCGAACTCCAAAAAATATCTCTGTATATTTAATATAATGTCATTTATCTTAGACAGATGTCCTTTGGAAAGTAAATTCTGTAAAGTTTTGAAAAAAATATATATAAAATGGATAACTTTCTTTTCTAGCGTCAAGCAACGCTACTTTCGTCATTGGAACTGAGTCATATTGTAAGCCTGATTGTAGATGTAACAACAGGCCTCTTAAAGACGATACTACGTATCACTTGACAATCAGGGTTTTTACCTCAAATTTTTATCGGGATGGTATATCAATTTCTTTTCAAACTGGTAAGTATTTTTCGGTATTAAATCAAAGAAACTTATAGTTGATTATACTGTCCAGTTTATGATTACAGTATTAAATATAGCGAGTACATTAGTGAGTACTAATACTGGATATCAATGAAAAATACCAATATTTTTTAAAAATAAATGTTTTAGATAAACTAAGCCAAGTAGCTGTAATTCTTGGAGTAATTTTTGGTATTCTATTCTTTGCTATTGTAGCCATCATTGGATTATATGTATGGAAGAAACAACTTTACAGGTAATTTGGATTTGTTTGTTTCTAATTTCTCTAGTAGAACACTACTGCTGTATTATTCTCAAAGTATCTCCCTGCATTTCTATACACTTTTGCGTTTGATCAAACCAATATTCAAAACACTAATTCAACTCTGAGCAAGGTAGAACTGAAAGAAATAATTTAAATGCTTCAACGACCTTCGGGCGATGAAAAATTTCTTATTGGGAACTTTCCTACATTATATTAATCAACGATGCAGCAGAGATGCCTTTCATAGAATACCTACTACAAATAAATAAACCCATGCCACTGGACACGTGCAGCACCATGACGTCTTTGACAAGACAGATATATTTATAATAAAATTATACGAAGGAGAAAGGGAAATCGTCTCACAGATAGTCAATTAGATCGTACAAACTAGTATTGTCTTTTATATATATTTTGACCGGTTTCTGGTTCCACCTACCATGAATCAGAGAGTCTATATGGCGCTAAAAGGGGTTGCTCGGGCGCCAGTTTGATAACACAGTTTGCTCTGCGACCCTGTAGCACACCAGAGTGTACTCAATATAAACTCAGTGAAGTTAAAAATACTTCCAAGCGGTCACTGCTAACGGTAGCCACGAAATTAGAATTAAAGCACTTATATTACGGGGTGAGTGGCTCAGTGGTAGAGTCTCTGCCTGTGGATCCAAGGGTCCCGGATTGGAATCCCACCGTTGGCCGGGATTTTTTCATTTAATTTAATTATTTGAAATTAATTCTGATGCCTTGGTAGGATTCCCCACTCGACCATTCACTGTTGGGTTCTAATTAACAGTGCTGTTCCTAAAGTGGCGCTGGGAAACAGTAAAAAGCCTACACAGAACACGAGGCGAAATAACCCTAGTAGTTGAAGCCGATGACAAAAAAAGCACTTATCTCCTTTGTATATCCATTGGATTGATCCTATACAAAGCAGTAGAAAATCTTTAGATAATTAGTTCTCTTTAATCTAATGTCAATAACACCTCAAAGAATGTACTCTTATAGCTTAATTTTCATTAAATGAATATATCTCAAGTACCGTCATTTTGAATATCCTAGAAGGCTAATAAAATAATCACTATAGTGTATAGAGACACCTCTCGACAAGCTAATAAAATCTCTTTTACCGTATGTAATGTCCATTAACTCCACTCGTGATCCTGAAACTAACCTTCCAGCTTTTCAGATTAATATATTTTTCTTTCAATTTTAGGAAGCTATCCTTCATTTATTCCAAAAAACCATCGGACAAACCACCTGTCACAAACAGTACAGCTATTGTTCCCAAAAAGTTTATTCAATATTTCAAAAACTCCCAAAGCAAACCGGAATTCCTTAAAGGGCAGTTTACCGATTTAGAGGAAAAATCTAAAGAAATTCAAGCGCAGAAAAGTTTCCATTTTTCGGGATTATTGGAAAATAAAAGGAAAAATAGATATGTCAATATTTCACCATGTAAGTACATATTAGATTAAATTTAAAAGAAGTTGGAGATTATTTGTCCTTCTCCACCGCGGACTCCGGTTTTGAGAGTGTTTCATATAGCTTGGTCTTTTTTATTAGACTTACTAATAGTGGCTTCATCATGTAGTTCTTCTTCCGTTTGGATTGATAGGATAGTTGTAACAAAATTAGTGTACAATTAACCCTGTCGCTGTATATAAATTACCTTGTTGCGGTTTTAGTCCAGCGATTTTTCCACAAACACGCCAAGGTTCCTGCAGGAAGGCTATGTCCAAGCCTTCCGCACAGAACGTCCTACATGCTGTGGCAGACGCTGTCTTAGTACGGTAGATGTTAGCTTGCAAGACCTTTATGGCCCGTTGTGACCCGTTGAAGACGCCGTGGGATCTGCCCTTTGACTTTCCTTTACTTCCATTAGAGCTTTATGGCCTTTTCAAAGGACTTCTGCCACTTTTGGTAGAGGAGTTTTTGGCGGACTTCTTGCCTTCTGTGCCCTGTGAAACGTTCGTTCTTTGGGTTGCTGGGTTTATGCTATTTGATGTTCTTGGACCCGTTTTGGCCTTAACATTTTGCTCCACCGACGTTATTGTGTCTTTTTTGGGACCTTGTTGGTGGAATTTAGTCCTTTTTTTCTTGACATCTGTTCCGGTTCTTTGAGACGGAACTTAATGCGTCCCATCCCAAAGTACGGGGACATATTTAACTTCTCGAGTTGGGTATATGATCCCTCGTCCACGGAGATGGCCTTTCTCCATTAGAGTTGGGATCAGAACCTTCCATAGGTTGATTTTAAGGGTGTTATTGCTTACCCTCAACCTGTTGAGGACTTTTTAGGCGAATAGCCTCTTTCCACCCTCGTCTGCTATGTACTTTGTACACATTTTTTGCTCTGGGATATCGGTGCCTTTCCGAAACTCGAGGATTGCACCCTCCCAGGGCTTTAATGTGGGAACTACCTCCTCTAACCATTCTGCACTTGGTACTATGATATACCCTGGCCTGTGTGCATTTGATAAAACGCACTTGTGGCCTTCCTATTGGGATACCTTCGTAGGTACTTATGATGGATTCCTCTACATTTTTTATTAGTGCCTCCGGTAAACCGGTTCTCTGCACTGCGATTTTCTTTAAAGGTTAACCCTTTAGTTTCCCCGCTCCTCGATCTGCGGGGGGAGTGTTGCCCTCTAATCTTGACCTTTTTGTGGTCTTTTATTGACCTGTTTGGCCTCGGTAGGCGAAGTTTTCGGTTACTTTGCTTGAGATCTGACGAAGTTTTCTTTAATTATGCCTCTTTTGGCCAGATTTTACCAAGTTGTTTCGCCTTGTTCTTGTTTCACCGCAGACGAAAAACATTTATGTGTCTGTCATTAGATCGATCTCCTCTTCGAAGGTGGCTCTTCTGGATTTGTTGGGCCTTGTGGATGTTATTGGCACTACTGCCTAAATAACCTAAATAACAGCCTGTTTCGCTGTCTCTGGCACTTCTGTCTGATATTGCTGGTGGCACATCTGCCTGTTCAGCAATAGAAGTTTGTGAAAGAGTGTCTTCTATTATTACGTCCATATTTGTTCTCATGAATAGCTGGGGAAGGATACGTCAACCCGTCTAGAGCTCGGCCTTAGACGGACAAGCCTACTTACTCGGGAGGACGGCCGATATCTCGAGGTATCGTTTGACACAGCTGTTTCGAGGCAAGCACAGCTTCTATGCATCCATCGGCATAATTTACTGACACCTTAGATTAAGCCTAGTGTTTCTGTGCTTCTGGGTTAGTTTTCAACACTTCCAAAATCATGCCATATATATAAAATTGTGCCTTTGGTCGTAGGGTCTTATCCTTAAAGTGCAAGCTCCTTCGTTGCGGCAAAACGAGGACTCGTGAAGTTAAGATAGGGAAGTATCCCGCCTCAACCTCCGGCGAAGGTGGTAGTTCCCGGCGGCAACTTTCGCAAAGGATTTTTGGGTTGTTTTACGTCCCACACCCTACTTATATCTGCCGCTAGCAGGAGATTCTGGGCGTCCTTCTATCCACCACCTGAAGACGTGCGAATGACTGTATTTAAATCTGGCTAAGCTTAATTAGGTAATACAAAAAGTTTAGTTGCTTTATTTGTAGCCACAAAGTACTTATTAACTTTCTTGCTGCTCTAGATGTAATTTATCTTTATTGTACCCATTCACTTTCTCAAACAGTACCGTTCTATTTTCTTTCTCTCTTTCGACATGTGGGTCATAGTATAGTCATGTCTATAGCTTTTTAAGCCTCTGGCCAAGTGTCATTCTTGTTCTATTTTCTTTTCAAAAAATTAAGTTGGTCAACTATATTAATTATGTTGGGTTCTGTAGCCACAAAGTACTGTTGCAACTTTTAGCTGCTTTTTTAAGTACCTATCTACATTTAGCTGGTAAAATTTACTTTACAGATGACGATACACGTGTTAAGTTGCTAATTGATGAAGATGACGAAATTGGATCTGACTATATAAATGCATCGTATGTTAAAGTATGTACCTATAGAGTTGAATTTGTTTTTTCATTGAATGGAAAGTAAGCTTAATGTGTTTAAATTATGGCACTCCAAATATGAGGAAGCTGAAACTTATGTTTCTGACATTTGTAGGGATACTCAGGAGGGATTGAATACATAGCAACACAAGGACCACTTCCAACTACATGCAGGGATTTTTGGAAAATGGTTATACAAGAAAATGTCACTATCATTGTCATGGTAGCGCAGTTTATTGAGAAAAACAAGGTAATTGTAATGACTATCTCCCTAGACCAAATATCAGCGATTTGGTCTAGAAGAAATAGTCGTTCCAAATATAACACGACCTTGATTAATATTCCGCTATTTTTATTGTTTCTAAATTTCTCGAACATTTTACAATTTGATTTTACATAATTTTGGCATTAATAATCAATTGATTAATACCAAAAATTATGTCTCATCAAATTGATATTAAAATATTCTCGAGATTTAGATTCAACAAAAATAGTCGACTATTATCAAGGTCTTGGTATATTACACTTGATTATAATCATGATAGCTCAAATTTTGTTTATTTTAGCAAAAATGTTACAAATATTTTCCCAACAATCATGAAAATCTCATTATTAGTGACGATATGGAAATAAGATGTTCAACGGAATTGCATTTCGGGACGTATCTCGTAAGAAATTTGCAAGTTCGAAAAGTGAGTTTTTAAGAAATTTTATTTAATATATTTCGAAATATTTTAAAATTTGCTTTTTTAGGATTCACTGCAGGTGAACGTAACTCATATGCAGTTCTTAGAATGGCCAGATTTCAATGTACCAACTGGTACAGAGCACATGTTACAATTTATTTACCAAATAAGAGAACGTTTAAGAATTGAAGGGGGGATAGTTATTGTACATTGCAGGTAAGCGTGAATATTTATAAAGGATATGTATTTCATTCTCCCAGTCAGGATCGTGTCGCTATAGGCTTTTCTAGTCCCTGGAGGGATCAGGGATCGGATCTGAGGGGGTGGGGTCAATGAAATGGTGGTAGGGATCTGAGAGGATGTTACTAGCTCAGCCTTTGGCTATTACTATCAGGAAAGCTCTGTCAGTGATGCTCGAACCAACGATCTTCCGAATGCGAGATAGATGATTATGTGCTTCTATGATGCTTCTCAAATTTGATTCGTTAGAGCATTAATAGATAACCTATCTATCTGAATTAGGGCGTAGTTCAAAGCTCACTTGTACTGAAGCTCCAGGCTTATTGTACCCCTTAAAATTTCTACCCCATCAGATTGATTTTCTTGATGAATTCAAGAATATGTCTGATGGGCGCTTTCGGATATTGTATCGCGAAGTACCATTCTTGTTCCCATTTAAGGTTTCGTCAGTGGTATAGTATATGAATAGGAGTTTCGTCCTCTTCACATATTCTACATAGGGAGTCATCAGATATCCTTAAGAGATTTAGGTGTCTTCTAAAACTGCAGTGTCCCGTAAGGAGTCCTATTACGGCCTTGAGTACGCTTCTGCTAAGGTTTAGCAGTTGATTTTGTCTGCACGTGGATGGCCTCACTATGAATCTTTTGGACTTTTTAAGTCCAGGAAGTTCCAACCAGAGCCTATGGTGTTCTCTATTTATTTGTTCCTTTAACACCCATTTAACATGTTGGTACGAGATACCACATGTGGGTTCTAGTCCAATTAGAGTTTTTTCCGCACCCTTCTTTGCTAGGAGGTCTGTTTTCTGGTTTCCAAACACTCCCTCATGTCTCGGCGCCCATTCAAAGGTGACCTTGGTATGTTCTGCCAGGGTCTAGAGGGACTGTTGGCAATCAAGTATTAATTTAGATTGTACCTCTACCTTTTTCAGTGCTTTAAGGGCTGCCTGACTGTCTGTCATGATAAAGACCCTTTTATCTCTAAAAGAGTCATATAGCATGACTGACGCAGGCATTTATTGCTGTTACTTCAGTCTGGATGGCGATGGTTAAGAGGATATAAATCGATGTAATACAAATGTATAGTACGAGAGTGCGCAAATCTTTGGTATGTACACTCTCATTTAAATTAGTACATTTGTTATTACATCGTCTATCGGTCATCGATCACCGTTCAGCGAGATGCACTATCATATAACAGAGACGGGAAATGATGCACATCACATTCGAATGTGTTTAAGATTAACAAAGGTTTGAATTCTTGGTATGCGACAGGTTCGGCTTCGTTTCGTTAGTGTTTAAATATGGACGTGTCTAAATTTGAAATCCGAAGATTTCAAAAAATCAATAAACGTATTCAAAAAAGGGGTGTTGTTATAAAAAATAATACACATTAGGTGGGAAAATGTTTATTTATACTTAGTTCTTTAATCAAATTATAACAATCATATGGATAATTACTACTATATTGTTTATACAGCTTTAAGGGTGGAAATAAAAGGACCGCAATATGCAGCTGCTATCGACTGCACAATGAAGTCAAATTTTGGCAAACCACAGTTTCTTATACAGTCAACTGCGTGCAGCAAGCTGCAATTGACTGCACGTTGACTGTGAATTGTCAAAATGCGACTGCGTAGTACAGTCGACAGTAACCCGACATTGAGGTCAGTCTATTTCCGCTCATAAAGGTATTTTATAATTCGCACCCTTGCTTCATGAGTTACACAGCTCAAAATTAAGTGAATACATTGAATGTGACAGTAAACAACATCAAAATCGGTTTAACCATGAAGCACCTTATCCTCTAGAGGCTAGAGACCCCACGCCAATGTTAGACTTTTAAACCAAAATAGCGCCACCTTATGTTTGTAATAGGAAACTAAAATGACAATTGACAAATGAAGGTAGGTACTTAAATTATCCGAAAATGTATTAAGATACAAATCAGAGGCAAACCGAGGTTTACATTCTTTGTCTTTGTCTTCTCAATATTTCGAAAGGAAAGGCTTGTTTTGGTTTCTTTAAAATGTGCTGCAAACCGTCCTAGATCTAGTGGAACAGTTGAATATTAAATTATTCGTAGTGTAAAACTTTTAAACTTTCCACTGGTTAGCTAGAACATATTTTTACAGAACCAAAATAGACCCAATATGACGTTTTTCACTGGAAAACAAGAAAGTGAGAATACACTTAGAACGCACTAAACGTAAACGGTCGGAATGGGAACAGTGTAGTGACTTTGACAGCTGACATATGCCATTCGGTGAAATCCGGATCTTTTTAAAGATCTCGGTCAACGAATCTGGCTCAGTTGAAAGATCCGGATCAGTGAGCTGGATCTCGGTTCAGTTGAATCTTTAAATATTGTAATGTTGGTTCATATTGCGTTTATCATCAGCCCCATCTGACGTAAATGAGCGTTGCACCAGCGAAAATCCTTCGCCTGCACCCCCTCCCTCCCCTCACAAAAAAATTACATATGTTCTTGGCAATCCTACATCTACGGTTTTTTTGAACTGGCCCTTTGAAAATCTCAGTTGTGAAATGTACAGGCCTGGTCTAGAACCAGACGCAGCAATTGAAGTGTCCTTATGAAAAACTGACAAAAACACAACGAAAGACTGGGTAGATAGTAAAAACTAAGCCCATAAACTTAAAGACCAAGAAGAAGTTTTGTCATTGATTGTGTATTTGGAAAAAAGTAGAGACGATAGTTTAAAAGAAATTGAAAATACATCGAAATACTTAATGGTTGAACTGGGAGGATCAAAGAATGTAGAACACCTACTATTTTGTTAATATTAAACTTATAAAACAATGGAGAGCTTCATAACGTCATATCTTTGGATTCTTTGGTTATGTTTCACCCATAATAATGGAGGAATGTATCACAATTTCTACCAGTAGCCCCATCTAGTGTTTGGAGTCAGTACCATAAATGTCAGTTTTCAGTTTTAACATTGGTCATTCACGTGTCCTTTGTGGTTTTAACCTAGCTTGATGGTGCCTGAGATTTTGATGTAGGGTTATTTACTAAACCCATTTATGGTTAATATTCAAAGGCGGATGTGCCCACCGGGAAACCGGGAGATTTCCCTAAGCGTCGATCCCACACAGGCGACGCCGCGGTTTTTTCTTCTTCTTTTTTAACAAATCGAAGAAGAAAAAAGTTGGTTCGGTGCCATTTCAGGTGACTTCCTGCGCCACCCCTATTGATATTAACTCAAAAGATGTGCATTTTTAAAGCAAGGAAGCGATTTATAAATACTTGTAAAGGTTACAATCAGTCTTTTGCATCTCTAAATGTATGTACAATATTAATATTAAATACTTAACATTAATTTTAATAAAACCCGAATTTCACAGCGCCGGAGTGGGAAGAACTGGTACCCTCATAGCCGCAGATATGCTTCTTCAAAACGTCAACGCTGGAAAACAAATTGACGTTTTTAACACCGTACTGGAACTCAGAAAACAAAGAGTAATGATGGTACAGACTGCGGTAAGTAAAATTATTCAAATTAACTTCATATTTTCATTTTGGATGTCACATAATAACGTCTTTTATCTTCTTTCACAAATCGCCGGTAAAACAAAGGGAAGAGTAGAAGAGGAGCCACTCGAGCCTAATTTTTCAAAATTTCCCAAAATCTTGGGAAATTTGTAGATGTGGCAACGTCTCAATACATGGAGTAGATGGTAAGTATTTTTACATTTCTGTGACTTTTCCGGCTACAAAATCGCTCGGTGTCTGCGGAAATGTAAAAATACTTAACATCTACTCCATGTATTGCGACGTTGCCACATTTACAAATTTTCCCAGACTTGGCTAAGTGGCTAGGAAGTAAAAAACTACTTTGAAATGTAGTGGGCCTTTTGGTCAAAAAGACCCTCGACTGAATAAATGTAGTATTTTGTACCTTTATATATGTTAGACATATTTAAATAGAGAAGCTTTGGCCAACGATTTTTTTGAAAAAATCAAAAAATGTTTTTTCAAAATTAAAAAAAAAAACATGAAAATAAAGTAGGTCATGTGACACATCGTTGGAACGGCCTTTGAATTACCTTTACAACGAGCTATATCTCATCGATCTACAATAAGTGGTCCTCAAGATATTCTAATTTTTGTGAGGCTCTGTTGGACCAAAATTGGTCAATTTTTCGATTTTTGAAAATTAGTAATAAAACTATATTTTGGATTTTTCATCCAACCCATATAGAGAATCAGTGTACCAAATTTTATTAAAATTGGTGCCAAACCTCTGGTTGATTTGATATGAAACGACCCTAAGTCAAATAATTATTTAATTACCAAGTGATTGTCGATAAACACAATACGTGAAAATCAGCCAACAGCAACAACTGATCATACTAGACACTCAAGGCGACTCAAATCGGTCTGCCTGAAGGTGGAATAATTTTTATAGTAAATTTATTAAAGTCTTGATTGTTTATTTTTACAGGAACAATATGTTTATTTGCATCGCTTGGTGGCAGATCACATAGACAGACCACCTACACCTGGTAAGTTTTAAATAATCAAATGCAAATAATAGTAGAAACATAGCTTGTAATGTTTGTATATATGTATTGGGTTAACTTATTTTCAGATAAGAATATAAAAAAATACTTGCGCTTTTTCATTTCTTTTTTTTTTTTTTTTTTTTTCATCACGCTTTACATTAGCCGAAGACGTGTCTATAGACCATTGCTTAATTTTTAGTACACTATGTAAGTACATCACAAAATTTGCAACTTTGACAAACTTCAATAAACAATATCTGTTGCAAAATCGTTTGAAACATATCAAACACGGTCCTGTTCTCGCGAATCTATATTATTAGCATCTGTAAACGAACGTGTACGTGACAATAACAAACATGTACGTGACAATAATCGCATCCGCCGAGTTGAATCAGTGCGAAACACTCAAGGCCAAACATATAACACAGCTGTGATATAGAGCCCATACATTAAAACGAAATAAAAATTTTTTCAGATATGAATGAGGCGTCTGATCCGTTTTACGAAAACATGGATATGATCAATAACCAATCCGAGTCTCAAAGTAATTCAAAAAGGAAAGAAGAAGAAAGCGAATTCTGAACGAATTCAAACACTCCATCATTCCAATTGACTGAAGAAATAGTATTACAGTATTATTTTTATATTTTTTCTTATTAAATCAAGAACAATAGATTGAGGTATTTAAAAGATTAAAGATATTTTTATAATTATGTTAAGAATTGGTGATAAAATGTATATAAAAATTCGATATTTGACAGAAACACTAATTTTGACAATATAGTAATGGCTGAACATTTAATCAAAGTAAAAATATGTTAAATATAGTTATTGTTCAAGAAAAACATCAAAGAATAAAAAATAAATAATAACTTTTTGTCCCAAATGTACTTATTTTTTTACGAAATCTAATATAAATGTATTATTGCATTATAAGTAGTCAGAAAATATGTATGATAATAAATTAATGGTATATTTAGGGTATGGTTCGATATTAACTAAAATATTGGTTGCTCGATCCAAAACTAACCATTCTGATTGACATTTCTGAAAAACCGATTAAATTAGGAACGCGGTTACCTGAAAATGGCGACTGAAACGTCATTTTTACGGTTACCATTAAGTCAAATGTCAATCTGTCACAAAAATGACGCAATGGCTACGTTCAGCAGAAAAAAATCTGATCGGGATTTGTTTCAGATCAATTTGCAACAATTTTAAAGTCTGCTGAAGTATTTTTTTGCGTTTTGAGAAAGAAACTGTAGTGACATTTATTAAAGTCATGTAACTAACCTCCAAACTCCAAATTTATGATTTTATATTTTATCTGTGGATCGTGTGTAAATTAAAAAGTAAAATATAAAAGGGTATTGTGTATAATAGCAAAAGCAACTATTGTTAAGAAAGCTTGAGTGACACAATGAAAGGCAATATTTTAATGGTCGCCTTTCACGATATCTTAAATAATATATTATTCTAAAATTGACGTAGCATAAATTAAATGCGCTCCAAAAAATGATGACTGATATGACAACAAAAGTTGTCGTTCAACATAAAATAAGTAAACTGTTGCGTCTGCTGAACGCAGTCAATGTAACCGACAAATTAGTTTTTTGAGGAACCGCTATCAAGTAATCCTGGTTAATATCGAACCATACTCTTGATTCCCATAAAATATGTCAATAAAAATGTATATATGGCATGTATTATAAAACAATAAACCTTTTTGTCTGTGTTTGTCTCTTATTCTTTTTTAATTTCTTTCAGTACTTAATAAGTTGAAATAGTAACGTTCTTGTAAGCCATTTCAAACAAAATAGTTACCTGTTGGCATTGATATGACAATACTGCGAGGCTGGTGGATTTTACAGAGTCAATGATATGGATAGTTATATAGATTGATCGTCCGTATGTTTTTCAAAATAAACATAAGCTGATGCCTTGCAAATAAAAATCTCGGCAATACTAATATTCTTCACACAGTAGTCTGTGCGTGCGATGTCACGTTTTTTGTCCTCACGATAAGTCAAAAACGAAAAATGATATCAATTTGAAAAATTCAGGAAAAATCAAGCTCTATAATGAGACAAAGACCTGAAAAAATTGGGGGGTTAAGAGCCGGGTTAAAATATTTAAAAATAATTCTAACTCAAAAACAGAAGCTCTATAAGGGGAAGAACCCTTTTGATTTTGAAAAAATCTGATTAAACATCTGGGGGATTAAGGAGGGGTTGAAATAAAAAAATCAAAAATGAAAAAATCAAATTCTACAAATTATAAAAATCTAATATTAAAACATGCGAATGAACCCAAAAAAATGTGGAATGTAATAATTAAAAAGGCCACTAATGACCATAAAAGTGAAAACGAAATTAAAAGCATCATGAATAGTAATAGTGAAGAAATATTTGACAAGAAAGATATAACCAATGAATTCAACATTTATTTTAATAAAATTGGTAAATTATTAGCTAAAAGAATAGTACATTTCACTCCAATATCTGACAATGAGCTCATATTACAAATAAATAGCCTGAAAAATATTGTAAAAGGTGGACAGGATAATATTAGTGCTAACATAATTAAAAATACCAATGCTCATATTATAAATAACATCTTTAGTTCAGGAATCTTCCCTGATAGACTTAAAAGCTCCATAATTGTTCCACTACACAAACAAGGTGATAAAAAAATCACAAATCATTACAGACCTATTACTTTAACAAGCACCATCAGTAAAATTATACAAAACTGTATTAGTCTTAAGCTGTTGCCATTTATAAACAAGTATAATCAATGAAAATCAATATGGCTTTAGGGATGGTTCCTGTACTGAAGATGCATTGTGCAAGGTATCTAGTGAAATTTCTCAAAGATTGGATCAGGGGAATAAGGAGGTTGGTATATTTCTAGACTTGGTTTAAAGCCTTTGACACTGTGGCACACCAAATGCTACTAGATAAGTTACATCACATTGATATAAGGGGTATAGCTAACAATTCAATTAAACATATTAGATTTCAAAAGGAGTTATGCGAGGAACTTATAGTTTTTTTAAATAACTTTTGGATTTATCCATTCAAAGTTGAGAAATCAACTCTCAGCAGAAAGGATGCAAAAATTAGTACATATAAAAACAAATGCCAATATTTTGTCAAAAATTACCACTGATAAACTTATTGATTCTAGTGATAGTGACAATTAAAAAAAAGTTTTTGTCATTTTTATTTTTTTTTTGTTTGCTGAATGTGTTTTTTATACAGGGTGTTTCATAATATATGCGCAGGACTTCAGGACGTGATAGCTCGTCCAAAAATATGAAAAATGTTTCTATTAACTTACCCTCTAAAATGCACCATTTTCGAGATACAGGGTGTTGAAATTGAAAAAAAAAAATTTCTACACCACTGGAAAAAGTACGGTTTTGAACGCCCATTTGAACCGCCAATGTTTTCTACACAAAAAAGGTACTCTTGGTCATACGCTCTAAAGTCGACCGTTTTCGAGAAAAATCAAATTTTAATGTTGAAATACATGAATTTTTGGAAATGAAACAAAATTTGATTTTTTTAACACCATAAATATTCAATTTTTTTCAAAATTTGCTCTTATGTTTTTTCTCTTTCTTACTCAAACGCGATGAGTGAGAGAATTTTTAGTCTAATGTTTGTAGCCTGGAGGAAAGAAATTATTCTCTTTCTAGAGAAATATTAGAATCTGAACTAATGATTAAATTTATTTATACTGAAACTTGCAAAGAATTTGCAGAATTTTTGCAAAAGGAAAGAAAAAGTCTTCTTAGTAGAGAAGGAAACAGTTTAAAATATTAGTACTTTTAGAATATTTAATTGGTTACAATAGGAATTTGACATTTTTTTGAGAAGTTTAACTATTTTAATGCAGGCATTTTTTGTTGATTTATGTATATTTTTATATACAGGGTGGCTCACGCTCAACGGGACGGAGCTTTATGGGAAAACGACCAAAGATATAAAAAATTCGTTTGGGAGGAATACGTAGGTTACAGACGGCTACAATTTAAAATTTGTTATTTGTATACAGGATGTCCCACATAAGAGAAAATATACAAAGTTATATTATTTTTAATGGAACACCCTGTTTTTTATTTTAAAATTAAAAACTACATCAAAAATAATGTCAGTTAACTAAAGGTTCCCTATTACTATTATTATTATTAGTTTTCGATTTATTTGAATTTTTAAGGAAAAAAAGTCTCCCAGAAATTAATTGTTTACTCTTGTTTGAATAATTTTTAATGAACTAATTTTTTTTTCTTATGTGGGACATCCTGTATACATCTAACAAATTTTAAATTGTAGCCGTCTGTAACCTACGTATTCCTCCCAAACGAATGTTTTATATCTTTGGTCGTTTTCCCATAAAGCTCCGTCCCGTTGAGCGTGAGCCACCCTGTATATTAGACTGGGCCAAAAAAATAAAACAATTTTTTTTAGCGGAACTATAAAAATATTGTTCATTACGACAAAAAAAAATTTTCCTGAAAGTTTGAGCCCTTAATAATAATATTAAGAGGTGCATCATTGCAGTTATTGCTTTTTCAACAGTTGTCGCGTTTTTGCATAAATTTCGGACTTGGTCAATTTTAAAAAAATTTTTCATCTCTTATCCTTGTAGGAAATTAAATTCCCCACAAAAAAGCTCTCTTATTAAATTTTCGTAAGACGAGTCTATTCTTTGTAATCGAGCCTTAAACATTGGTATATATTTTCAATTTTTCACTTTGCATTTGGGATTTCCAAAATGAACTTAAATATTAAGATTACAAAGAATAGACTCGTCTTACGAAAATTTACTAAGAGAGCTTTTTTGTGGGGAATTTAATTTCCTACAAGGATAAGAGATGAAAAATTTTTTTAAAATTGGCCCAGTCTAATATATATTTATATTTTAGTTATATAACAGATATCCAAAATTAGCAGTCAATATTACAGAATTAATACTAGGTAGCATGATTCTGTAAACACAAACAGAAGGGCAGCTAGAAGTTATTTTTCAGTATTCTTTGTACTTACAGAAACCACCCACAGAGCTGGAATTACATGTTTTAATTCAAGTGTGAACCCACCTATTGGTAATTTTTTTAAGTGTTTGTTTTACAAATTTACAACCATTTTAACTTGTTGAAAATATTTTATTAATTAAGCATTGAAATTTGTATTTTGTTTTTTTTTTGATGCTACAATATTTTTGTATATTTAGTAGGTATTTAATTAAAATAAATGTTTTTTCTTCAAAAGTTAAAACCTCCCACTTTTCATTACTGAAAATCTGGCAGCCCTACTACTACTGTTAGGTAATTAGGAATATTAGGATACCTTATTTATATTTAAGTTATTGTAATAATTTGTAATTTAAACTGAATGGCTAATAAATAAATAAATAAAAATAGGACAACCAGCATCTATTTTTGAGCTCAATTGCATCTGTTTTAATATTTTCTGTTCTACATTGCATTTCTCTAACTTTTTTGGATGAATATTCAAAAATATATATACAATACCTATATTTACCTATTGTTAAAAATATAATGAATACATTATAGATATTTCAACATTTTCAAAAACATTAAAAATCTCATTTTAGGATTTTGGAAAGTTGGTCACTTTAAACTAAGAATATAACAAACTATTTGACATATAACTGAGTGTATAACATATTTTTAACATTTTAAAATTATCACTCACCTTGTTTCTACTGCATAACTGAATTATGGGGTTGATTTGATGGTCGATGACTATTAAAAATCCCCAAGTTGTGATGATGTATGGGATGCATAGAATTCGGTATTATCCTCTGATTCAGCAAGATATTATGTTGAAAACCAATTTGTCCACGATCTATCATGCAATTATCATAGTGACGTAAATGGGCTGGTATTTGTCTATGGGTCTGATTGGGTAAATACATTTGATTGTGAGATGCAGCTTCAGAAACTTGAAATGGTACACACTGTTGACTATCGATTGGTTTAGGTGTATGTTGAGAGGTGATAGGAGCAATAACCTCTTTTATTTTTGGTTTTTTTAAATTCTGTTCCATATTATCCTTATTATTTGACATTTCAACTAAAATAGACTTATTACTGGTTTTCTCTTTTTCATAAGTAAAACCCATATCAAATAATAGTCTACGTAAGGTCATAAGAGAAAAATTTGGCAATTTCTCACTGGAATTCACATTTTTAAGAATTGTACTCAAACTAGGTAAGATATTCTTATATTTTAAATCATAAATAATAAACTTTATAGATTCTCTTACAGCTTCGTCATATTTAAAAAATCTGCTGTTGATATTAATGTTTTTTCTTATTTTTGTCTTCGATGGTTCTTTAAATCCTTCGGGACTAGCCTCCTCTTTTCTAAATTGAAAAACGCTTTTTTCGCTGCAACCTGTAGCTTCTGCAGTTCGCCTAACAATTTCGGTAATAGATTTGTCAGGATTTATTTTGCGAAAATATTTGAAAACGTTGAGTATTATTGTTTTCTCTTTGCAGGAATAAGTCATGCCTTGTTTCATTTTAATAATTCCTTTAGACATTATTATAATTATTTGTTATATTAGCAAGAAAAAACTAAATTATTATAAACGTGCCAATATTGACAACCAACAAAATATAAAATTCTGTTGGAGAAGTGACAAGGTGGGTTCGACTATTCAGTATATTTATTTTAACTTTCAGGCAGTTTTTAACTGTCATATTTACATATTAAAGTGTCACTTATATGTCACTTAACGTGCTCTAAAAGGTCGTCAGGAGTAGAAAGTGTCAGTTTAAATAATCGATCGCACATCGCACCTTTAAATGTATCACCATGGCAACAACTGTCAATAGTTCTCAGAGATGTCAACGATCATAATATAGCGACAGGGATGCCAAACCTTAAAATTAATCACCAGAACTTGCCATTCCGAAAACGTTTGGCGATATCGCGATTCTTGCTTCTTGTATCGAAAGTGTAGCACTGAGCTACACAACTTCTGAAAATATCGTTCCATTTATGCAAATTGTATGGATGGAACGATATGTTCAGAAGTGGTGTAGCTCAGTGCTACACTTTCGATGCAAAGGAAAAGACCTATTAATTCCTGCAATCCATAGCTGTCAGTTGTTACATCTAGTCGGAAAAACCATACATTGAAATGGATGGAATGGTGTTGCATCGATTGCATCAACGTTGGATAAAAAGACAGCGCTGTTAGTTCATCATTGATAGATTGATGAAATAAAAGACAGGTATATACCGCACCGATGCTAACGTTGCTGCAACAGTTGGATAAAAAGACACACGTATTGCGACAGAAAAAAGTCGTTGTAACGTCGGTAACCACTTGATTCATGTTACAACCCATCTCTACTTTCTACGAGCAAAGAAAAATTTGTGGCCATGGCCAACCAACAAAAATAAATTCTAACTACCAACTTTGTACAAATTTTTAAATGTAGCACACTTGTGCAATTTATGTCTGTGATTTATATTACTCTCTTTCTTTAACAGTTATGGAAACAAGGATAGACGGTTTTCAAACAACGAATAAAACCAGAATTAGATAGAACATTCTCGAATTGTGTACGCTAGAACAAACTAGTATGAACAAAGTTCTTGTCCTGTGTAATCTCGGAAGTGCGAAATAAGAAATAAGGAGAAGAAGTGACAGTGACAGTTATTACTAGTTTCTATTTGGAGTGTTTTTTACACTTTCTGCCAAGTTTAAAAATTAAATCCAAAAAAAAATATTACAGCAAACATATTTTTATTATTGTGTAAAAGTGGATTCGTATAAGTTTTTTTGTATGGACTCTAACAAAATGACTGGTGAACCTAACCAACAAAATCAGACTTCTGTATTTGGATTTGATGAATATCCACCACCGTTTCAGGTAAACTGGAACCAAACCAATCCTTTTGCTAATATCATACCCCAATATAATGCTTCGATGAGCCAACACCAACAAATGTTCGTACCAGAACCGGGTTCCCCATTTTCAACTGCAGTCAATGTTTCCCCATTAGTAACTCCAGTTCCAGTACCCAATCTAGCATTAAGTACTATTGTACCGACAAATAACTCGTTCGATCAGCAACTAAGTGGATTCTCATTCGGAAACCGAAAGCCTAACCAAGAAGTTTTTCAATTTGAAAATTTGGCTGGATTTGGGTCAAGAGAAATAAGATGCAAGAGGAAAACAGATTCACCTCCGTAAGTACATTTATCTCATGTAATAAACTATGTTTAATATGTACCAATAATTGTAGCATTGTTTTAAAATAGATATGTTTGAGATTAAAAAAAAAACTGATTTAGATTCATTTATTTTACGCAAGGGCACTGTTTAAAAATAAATTACAAGGCTTTTATTGTAAGCATTAGTGTATTATCCAAAAACTTTATTTGAAAAATATTGATGCATTATCCTTTTATTCTACTATGTTATTATGATTTTACTGTGGACGTTGTTTACTTACTTCAGAAGTGTCATTTGTAATTTGACCAGTAATTTTTTTAAACTATAAGATAATTTATTGAAGTAGCATAAAAGGATAAACCTAATATAATATAATATAATAAAGGATAAACCCAATAAAAAAAATTGTTGCACATTAAGAAGGTACTTTCAATCTTGAGTTTATACTAGATGTTTAATTAACAATAGAACATTATAGTTGAAAGTATGAATACAAATATTAAAAAAAGAAGAATAAGAAAGTTAAAATCAAATTTTATCAGTTTCAATAAAAGTTCAAATCATATAAATTCACAATTTGTATATAACTCACAATAAATTACCTTAACTCAATATTATTAAGATTCTAGTTACACATAATCACATCACTTTGTATACTAAAAATGTTAGTTTCATTATAATTCCTAACTTTTTTTTATAACATTGAGGTATTAGAAAAATTTACAGAAATTACAAAATGATCACTGATTTTTGGAGTATCATGAACTGGTCAATATACTATTAAGGGATGAAGGCAGCAGCACTGTCACCAGCCCAAGGGTATTAAAGTCCAGAAGGAACATCTATTCACCAGTGGCAAAAATATAAATAATAAAAATATAATTAAAAAAACAAAATCATCCCTTACTTAATAGTAGCTACATAGATAGACTCATTCTAGTTCTTTATAAATTAATGAATAATTTAATTGCTTGTCTAGAGCTCCTAGAACAAATTATTTTATATGTACCATGCCTAAATAGGAGAAATGAGCAGACATTTTACCTCTCTGCTCCCAGAACAAACATCATGATGAACTTACCCTTAAATAGAATTTTAATAAAAATACTAGATGGATTGACCCATTTTCATGTTCATTAAATCAATTTAAGAATAAAATCAAAATATTATCATAAATTAGCCAGTTTCTTCATCTTCCTTTCTTTATTCCATTACATGGTTGTCTATATTTGTCTATTTTTTTGTCTATTTTTTGTCTAGTTTGTGTCTATTTTTGTATATTTTTGTATATTTTTGTATATTTTTGTATATTTTTGTATATTTTTGTATATTTTTGTATATTTTTGTATATTTCTGTATATTTTTGTATATTTTTGTATATTTTTGTATATTTTTGTATATTTTTGTATATTTTTGTATATTTTTGTATATTTTTGTATATTTTTGTATATTTTTGTATATTTTTGTATATTTTTGTATATTTTTGTATATTTTTGTATATTTTTGTATATTTTTGTATATTTTTGTATATTTTTGTATATTTTTGTATATTTTTGTATATTTTTGTATATTTTTGTATATTTTTGTATATTTTTGTATATTTTTGTATATTTTTGTATATTTTTGTATATTTTTGCATATTTTTGTATATTTTTGTATATTTATTTTTGTCTATTTTGGTCTATTTTTGTTTATTTTTGTCTATTTTTGTCTATATTTGTCTATTTTGGGTCTATTTTTGTCTATTTTCTTCTATATTTGTCTATATTTGTTTATATTTATCTCTTTTTGTCTATTTTTTCTGTTCGTATCTCTTGTCTGTATTTGTCTATTTTTATTTGTTTTTGTCTATTTTTGTCTATCTATATTTGTTTGTTTTTATCTATTTTTGTCAATTTTTGCCTATTTTTGTTTATTTTTGTTTGTTTTTATCTATTTTTGTCAATTTTTGCCTATTTTTGTTTATTTTTGTTTATTTTTGTTTATTTTTGTTTATTTTTGTTTATTTTTGTTTATTTTTGTTTATTTTTGTTTATTTTTGTTTATTTTTGTCTATTTTTGTCTATTTTTGACTATTTTTGTCTATTTTCTTCTATATTCTTCTATATTTGTCTATATTTATATTTGTTTATATTTGTTTATATTTGTTTATATTTGTTTATATTTGTTTATATTTGTTTATATTTGTTTATATTTGTTTATATTTGTTTATATTTGTTTATATTTGTTTATATTTGTTTATATTTGTTTATATTTGTTTATATTTGTTTATATTTGTTTATATTTGTTTATATTTGTTTATATTTGTTTATATTTGTTAATATTTGTTTATATTTGTTTATATTTGTTTATATTTGTTTATATTTGTTTATATTTGTTTATATTTGTTTATATTTTTTTTATATTTGTTTATATTTGTTTATATTTGTTTATATTTGTTTATATTTGTTTATATTTGTTTATATTTGTTTATATTTGTTTATATTTGTTTATATTTGTTTATATTTGTTTATATTTGTTTATATTTGTTTATATTTGTTTATATTTGTTTATATTTTTTTATATTTGTTTATATTTGTTTATATTTGTTTATATTTGTTTATATTTGTTTATATTTGTTTATATTTGTTTATATTTGTTTATATTTGTTTATATTTGTTTATATTTGTTTATATTTGTTTATTTTTGTCTATTTTTGTCTATTTTTGTCTATTTTTGTATATTTTTATCTATTTTTGTCTATTTTTGTCTATTTTTGTCTATTTTTGTCTATTTTTGTCTATTTTTGTCTATTTTTGTCTATGTTTTTGCCTATTTTAGTCTATTTTTGTTATTTTCTTCTATTTTTGTAATCAAATTCTACAAGTGGATTATGTACTTTTTTAGTTTGCGACCAGTAAAACAACACATCACCGAAGAAAAAATGGCGGAACACATGTCAAAATTACACATCAGTTCTGAAACAGCAGCCCCGGTAGAGACGGACTCGTCTAGAATTCGACGCCTTTATATGTGCGAGGAAATGCGTAAATTACAGACAGACCCAATTCTTCCCCAAAGTCTGCTATCTCGAATACAAAGTCCTTGTACGGCCCTGGTACTATGGAAACCGCCCGCCAAGTTGGTACCTATTTCGGATAGCACCGTCGCGGATCAAAGTAAGAGTAAAAATTCTGATAGTAAAAAATCTGATGAACCAGCTGACGAGGCCGAAATGAGTGAGGTAATTCTCAGTACTATGGATCTAGATACTTGTTGAAATTTTTTTTGTCTATTTTGCTATCGAAGACTGACTTGACTTTTTAGTGATAAGAGTTGAAGAATTTTTATCTGTGTTTTTAATTAGTAATTAGGTCGATTAAGTGTTAATAATCACTGTTGTTAAATGTATTTATGCCTGGATTCATGGTCAAAGTTCTAGCATCAATTTGTTTCTTTGTGGTTCTAAATCATTTAAGTCTGAGTTGGGAGGTGCATTTGGCATTTTTACTATATAGAAAATTTATAAAATTAATAATTTGCATCACAGGCATATATATTTTTAACAGAAATATACGTTAACATAGAAATGTTCAGTATTCTCATATCAGCAGTTGGACAAATGACTTTTTTTGATTAAAATAAAATATCTAATGCCCTTTTTGGAGAACTAAATAATCAATTAATAGAAATATAAGATTAATCGAAAGAATCGATTAATTGAAATAATCGATTAATTGAAATAATCGATTAATTGAAATAATCGATTAATCAGAATAGTAGATTAATCTAAATAGTAGATTAATCTAAATAATCGAAATAATCTAAAATAATCTAAAATAATCTTAAATAATCTTAAATAATCTAAAATAATCTAAAATAATCTAAAATAATCTAAAATAATCTAAAATAATCTAAAATAATCTAAAATAATCTAAAATAATCTAAAATAATCTAAAATAATCTAAAATAATCTAAAATAATCTAAAATAATCTAAAATAATCTAAAATAATCTAAAATAATCTAAAATAATCTAAAATAATCTAAAATAATCTAAAATAATCTAAAATAATCTAAAATAATCTAAAATAATCTAAAATAATCTAAAATAATCTAAAATAATCTAAAATAATCTAAAATAATCTAAAATAATCTAAAATAATCTAAAATAATCTAAAATAATCTAAAATAATCTAAAATAATCTAAAATAATCTAAAATAATCTAAAATAATCTAAAATAATCTAAAATAATCTAAAATAATCTAAAATAATCTAAAATAATCTAAAATAATCTAAAATAATCTAAAATAATCTAAAATAATCTAAAATAATCTAATATAATCTAAAATAATCTAAAATAATCTAAAATAATCTAAAATAATCTAAAATAATCTAAAATAATCTAAAATAATCTAAAATAATCTAAAATAATCTACACCTTTCAACATATTTTTTTTTAATATAATTACTGCCAGTTTTTAAGTATAATACATTTAATTCCATTTGAAAGACTTAGAACTATGTGCTTCCAAAAACTTTCCTTTCTTCACTTCACTTCTAAATTGCTTCAATTCAAAAGGAATTTAAGTTCTTGTTCACAAAACAAAAAGTTAAATTTTATTATATAGAATAACAATAGTTTAAAATTTCTAATATGTATAATTACAGTAAAACATAAATATTCACGTAGGTACACCCAAGATCACTCAGTTACAATCTAAGGGTGAATCACTCCCAATATTCAATCAAAATCGTTACAAATTCTCTTTAAATTTCAGAAAAACATGGTTGTATAATTATTTAAACCTCTGTTAAACCTTGGACCGTTTAGCTTAAATTCTAACAATTTCTGGACCTAAAGTCCTTTTAATTAGATTTAAGCACTAATAACTTAGACCTTTATTCCTTTTAGCTTAAATTTTAATAATTATTTTGGACCCAAAGTTCTTTTAATTATGTTTAAACAGTCTTAACCTAGACCTTTGTCTCTTTAGCTTCAATTATAATGTTTATTTCTGGACCTAAAGTCCCTTTAATTATATTTAAGCACTCATAAATTAGACTCTTTAATTACATTTAAGCACTAATAATTTAGACTAGGCCTGCACAACATTTGGCCCGCGGGCCGCTAGCGGCCCGCCATTGTCGTTTTTTTGGCCCTTTGTCCCTTTACCAATTTGTCCCGCCTATGTTAAACTATACATTTTTCAGTAACAAAATTGTATTTAGGAATTAATTGCCTTTTTTTAGGACTTTGATAGAAGGACCTGGTTCATTATAAGCTGAAGAGCTTGTTGTTTTTCTTACAGGAGTGGGTTTATAAAATTATTGGCCCTCGTTCACCTGGGGTTTTTTTGAACTGGTCCATTGAAAATTCCAGTTGTACAGGCCTGACTTAGACCTTTGTCCCTTTTGGCTTGAACTCTAATTATAATTTTTGGACCTAACAATCCTTGAATTATATTTAAGCAATAATAACCTAGACCATTGCTCCTTTAGCTTTAATTATAATATTTTTTTCTGGACCTATAGTCCCTTTAATTATATATAAGCACTAATAAATTAAATCTTGATCAAGTTAAACAATAATAATAATAATTTCTGGATCTAAATTCCCTTTAATTAGATTTAAGCACTAATAACTTAGACCTTTCTCCTTTTAGCTTAAATTATATTAATAATTTCTGGAATTTAAGTCTCTTTAATTACATTAAAGCACTCATAATTTAGATCTTGATCCTTTTAAGCCTTAAATTAATAAGTATTTCTGGACTTAATGTCCCTTTGATTAAATTTAATTACTAATGACCTATACCTTTGTCCCTTTAACTTAAATTATTATTATTTCTGGACCTAAAGTCCTTTTTATTAGTTTTAGGCACTTGTAACTTTCCTTTTTGATTTAAATTTTATTAATACTATAATTTCTAACAACGAAATTATTCACTTAACTCAATTAAACATTATTTGTTTGTTTGTTTTAATCATTTAGGTACATGTTGGTATAAATTCCTTAATTTTCGTCGCCACTGTACAATTACTTAGAATATTCTAAATTGAAACAGCAACTCTTTAATATATACTTTCTTTAAAGGGCCAAATATCAAAACTGCATAGTAATACATCACTTAGTGTTTTTTTTTACTTATATTTAAAACTAAATAAAATAAAAAGTGATCTTCATAATTAATAATGTTGACTGCTGATATGAGCAATATTATCTCCTATAAAAACGATTTGACTTTTAATTTTTTTTTTAATCCAATGCTTTAAAAAAACGAACTGGTGATAGAAATATTTGGTTTTTGTATATTATTATAAGGATATAATATTAATTGGGTCTTTTTATTGCTCAATAATTATTATAAAGACATTATTCAAATTGTTTCACTAGGGCAATAAAACCCAAAATTTGCTCAAACATTTTTGTTTACTAACTAACGAATTTTTAAAATTTGATAAGTTTCTTTAGCTTAACAATATTTCTACATCCATGTTGTATGTGTTCTCATATTTCTAAATGTACAGAGTTATTCATTATAAATAACCCACTCTATCATCATTATTATTGCATACACAAAAAAAGGTTTTACATAAAAGTTTTGTGTAGATTTATTTTGTTAAATACAGTGTTGTGTAGATTTCAGGAATATAGCAAATATTTTTTTTTATATTGGAAGTTTTAAAATGAATTTTTTTCTCGAATTAAAAAAATATCTTAGAAAAAATATGGAATAGTTTTAGTTAGTATTATTAAAGCTACAAAAATGACAACTATTAGTTTGATAAGTGACGTTTTTTAATAAAATAATAAAAATAATAGAAATGGTTTAGAGTGAGGAGGAAAATGTGTAAAATTACCTAAAATAAGATATACGATGTTTAATTACTCAAAAACGGTAATAGATACGGGTAATTTAATACTTTTCATTAAAATAAACAACTTTTTCAAAAAAACTCAAAAATAAAAAAAAATATTTTAATAATTTCAAAATATATACAAGTCTTGCATAAATAACTGTATAAGTTTGGACAAAAAATATGTTTATTTTATCGACTTCTATAAATAATTAAACTAAAAGTATCGTATAGAAATAAAAAACTATTCCATTTAAAAAAAATTTGATGTACCATGTGAAATCTGCACTCCACTGTCTTTTTGATAACTGTTTAACATGCAGTAATAGCCTAGGGGTGGCCAACTAAGTGATTTATTTTCTTTTTAAAAATCGATAATCGATTAATCAATTTTTATTAATCGATTATTTTTCGATTAATCTTTTTTTTTAATTAATCGATTTTTAAGATTAATCGATTTGTTCAGTTCATCAATTTTTTCGATTAATCAATTATTTTCGATTATTTGTTTTTCTTTTAAATGATTGTGAACAATTGATTATTTAAAAAAATCGATTATTTTGAATAATCAAATATTTATTATAATGACAAATAATCGATTATTTTGCCCATCCCTAGTAGGGTTGGAGATTATCAAAATAATTCGATTAATCTAAAAGAAACAATTAATACAAAATAATCGATTAATAGATCAAATCGATTAATCTAAAGAATATGTTGCCGACTCCTAGTTATTATTGCATGTACAAAAAATGGGTTAAATAAAAGTTGTGTGTATGATTTAATTATATTAAATCGTTCATTGTAAAATAATCGATTAGGTAATCGATAATAATCCATTAGGTAATCCGGAATAATTAAAATAATCGATATAATCGAAATGATTGAAAAAAATCGATCAATTAAAAATAATCAATTAATCAAAAAGAATCGATTAATCGGAAAAAAAAAGATTAATCGATTACTTGAATAATAGCTTATTGAATTTTCAGAAAAAAATTAATCGATGATTTAGCCCACCCCCAATTAGGCTGGATTATCAAGATAAATAATCGATTATTTAAAATTAAAAAAAATCGATTAATCTAAGAAAAATATAATCGATTAATTGAATAAATGGATTATTCGAAAAAATCGATCAGTTGAAAATAATTGATTATTGATTTGTGAAAAAAAATTAATTTATCGAACAAATCGATTAATAGAACAGAGCGATTAACTTAATTATTTCGAATATATCGTTTCAATCGATTATTTAAATTATTTCGATTATTTTCTATTACTCAATTATTTTTGACAGATCGATTTTTAACACATCCATTTTTAACACAATTGAATCATAGACACGACTATTATTGATTTTTCTTAAATTAATCGGTTTTTTCGATTAATCGATTTATTTTGATAATCGTCCAGCCTAACTAGATGTGTGTAAAATAATCGATTATTTTTTTTTTAATCATTAAATGATTATAGACTAATCGATTTTTTATTGATCGATTTTTTGATTATTTTAATAATTTCTTGATTATTTCGATTATTTTGATTACCTAATCGATTATTTTTAACTGATCGATTTTTCTATTTTTTTTTCTTAAATTAAACGATTTTTTATATTAAATAATCGATTATTTATTTTTTAAAAACTCGATAAGCGATTATTTTTGATTGATCGATTTTTTGATATTTTGATCATTTTTTGATTATTTCGATTATTCTGTTATATCTATTTCGATTATATTGATTATTTCGATTGTTTCAATTAATCGATTACTTTTGATTACTTAATCGATTATTTTCGACTGATCGATTTTTTCTATTTGTTTTT